GAGGTCAGTGATACATCATACACATGAGCATGAAAAAAGAGTATGTTCAAATGATTTACAATTCATGAATCTGAAGAAGACAGTATGGTTTAAGTACAGAAAAGGGAAACAAAAGGAAACAAATCAATATTTTTTTAACATAATTTCATTGCTCAAGGAAATATCATTCATGAAACTTGTTTTCATTTACAGGTGTTTGTAAAGGATGTGGACAAGGATGGTCTAATTTTGCTCGGAGCCAGGGCTTCGAGGGTTGAGAATCAGGATGCGATCGATACTTGTATCGTTGGAATGTTGGGTGACCCCAAGGAGGTATATGCCAACATATTTCTTTGAAAGCTATGAAGTCATTCCTGGCTGTGAGCTCTGCTCATACAATAGCATAACCCTTAGGAATGCTAACCAAATCAGAAGGGATACAAATTTATTTTTTTTTCTATTTGGAGCTAAAACATAATGGAATTGAGATAAATGATTGGACTTAGATTTGGGGCATCAACTATGGACTGTATTTTGACAGCTAAGGATTAATTTGACCATCATAACGTACTTTCTTTTGTGCTGCAGGCCAGAGAAGGAATAACTGAGGTCCATTTCTTACCCTTTAATCCAGTGGAGAAGCGTACAGCCATAACATATATCGACTCCGAAGGCAATTGGCACCGGGTTAGCAAAGGTGCACCAGAGCAGGTCATAAGTCCACCCTGCAATGCTTTTGTCATTAATCTATGTGTACCTTTTTATTTAATCTTGCGGCATTGTATGTACCATTTCAGATCATTGAGCTCTGCAACCTAAAAGGTGATCCTATGAAGAAAGCACATGCTATCATTGACAAGTTTGCAGATCGTGGTCTTCGCTCTCTTGCTGTTGCTAGACAGGTGAGTTTTTGTTCTCATTCCTAAGAACTGTTTCTTGATGATGATTTAATGAAGTTAATTTCTTCATGAATGGTTTGGTTCCAGACTGTGCCCGAGAAAAGCAAAGAGAGTCCTGGAACGCCATGGCAATTTGTGGGTCTCTTGCCTCTCTTTGATCCTCCAAGGCATGACAGTGCAGAGACCATTCGTCGAGCCCTTAACCTCGGTGTCAACGTTAAGATGATCACTGGTGACCAGCTAGCCATTGGTAAGGAGACCGGTCGCAGACTTGGCATGGGAACCAACATGTATCCTTCTTCTTCCCTCCTTGGTGAAACCAAGGATGAGTCTATTGCTGCCCTCCCCGTCGATGAGCTTATCGAAAAGGCTGATGGCTTTGCCGGTGTCTTCCCAGGTACTTGGACTTAATCCTCCACGTAAAGTTTTATTTCCAAAATTACAGATGTTGTATAATAGAACTAACCAATGTGGAGCCATGCAGAGCATAAATATGAAATTGTCAGGAGGCTGCAAGAGAAGAAACATATTTGTGGCATGACTGGAGATGGTGTAAATGATGCTCCAGCTCTAAAGAGGGCAGATATCGGAATTGCAGTGGACGATGCAACCGATGCAGCTCGGAGTGCATCTGATATTGTCCTCACAGAGCCAGGACTGTCTGTGATTATCAGTGCTGTATTGACAAGTAGAGCCATTTTTCAGAGAATGAAGAACTACACCATCTATGCCGTTTCGATAACAATCCGTGTTGTGCTTGGTTTTATGCTCCTTGCTCTTATCTGGAAGTTTGATTTCTCACCTTTCATGGTTCTGGTTATTGCTATACTCAATGATGGAACAATCATGACTATTTCTAAAGACAGGGTGAAGCCATCTCCTCTTCCAGACTCATGGAAGTTAAAGGAGATCTTTGCCACTGGAGTGGTTCTTGGCACCTACCTGGCTGTCATGACTGTTGTTTTCTTCTGGGCTGCTAATGACTCTGACTTTTTCACAGTAAGAAAATTCCTACAATCCAAACAAATAGAAACACTCTGAACCTTATTGTAAAATCATCCCTATTGCAAATATGCTTATATGCTAAAATTTGGCAGGACAAATTTGGAGTAAGATCTATCAGAGGAAATGATCCTGAGCTTACAGCAGCTGTCTACCTTCAAGTGAGTATTGTCAGCCAGGCACTTATCTTTGTTACTCGGTCCCAAGGCTGGTCTTATATCGAACGCCCCGGTCTCTTGCTTGTGGGAGCCTTTCTCATAGCACAGCTGGTAAGTTTCAAGAAGTTTAGTTCTGGTTGCTGATACTGTAAACTTTGCATATTTTGGGTAGAAAAACAAACTAAGTTTATGTTCATGTTTGTTTATCAAGATTGCTACAATCATTGCTGTTTATGCACACTGGGGCTTTGCAAGAATCCATGGTATTGGATGGGGATGGGCTGGTGTGATCTGGCTCTACAGCATTGTCTTCTACATACCTCTGGACATTCTTAAATTCATTATTCGATACGCATTGAGCGGCAAGGCCTGGGATAATGTACTTGAGAGAAAGGTATTTGATCAATCTTATGCTTAAAATAAGTTTTCATTTTCATATCCCAGAACATTCTCTTTCATGTTTGATTCTTTCTTATTATACTCCAGACTGCTTTCACAACAAAGAAGGATTATGGAAGGGGTGAGAGGGAGGCACAATGGGCTACCGCTCAACGAACCCTGCATGGCCTGCAATCTGCTGAGACAGCTGAGCTTTTCAGTGACAAGAACAACTACAGAGAGTTGTCTGAAATCGCCGAACAGGCGAAGAGGCGGGCTGAAGTTGCTAGGTAGTTATAACTGGAAGCTTGTATAGTATGGCCTTTGTAATGGAAACCTGAATTTAAATGGATCATAATGTTTGTTCTGCTTTTGGTTTCCAGGTTGAGGGAGCTTCATACACTCAAGGGGCACGTCGAATCGGTTGTCAAACTCAAAGGACTTGACATCGACACCATTCAACAACACTACACTGTTTGAGTGAGCGGCATGAAATTTTGGCAAAGTGAGTCTGGAGAGGGACAAAAGACAACTAGCACAAGGCATGAGGATTTAGCGTTCATCCTTTAAGGAAAACCAAAAAAATAAAAAATTTATTCTATCTTCATTTGATGTTGTAGAAGGATGAAGGGGTTGAGAATAATCCAACGTGGGAGTTGTCTTAGACAACCTAAGGTTGGAAATAGATATCAGGAGGTTGAATCTGCTATTCTGTACGAATTAAATAATTAGTTCATTTTCAATGATAATTCTCTATTTTTGCTTCTAGCATATCAACTTATGTTCAGAGTACAAAATAAATCGTTTCCCTATCTCAACAATAACATTGTAGGTGAACCTTTTTAGAACAATGGATCAGTTAGTATCACAATACTAATTAAAATAAGCATCACAGAAAAACACTTTATCACGTGTTGCAGCCATCGATGTAAATAACGCACGTTCTTACCTGACAGACTGAATCCATACAGCCTATCTCTTTCCATTAAGTTTCCTCCAAAATCTCAATCTAAATTGCAATTGCTTTTCTAAATACCAAATATTGTTTGTTCTTATATGTTTTCAGTGTTTACAATAGAGTTAAATATACATGTTCACAACATATGCATGTGCCTTATTACAAAAACATTGTGCTACGGGCATGATTTTATTTTTATGATCACAAAAATGATACTTGGTGAAGCATAACGTTAGCATTAATCATAAATGAGCTTAAAATAAATACAAATTTATAAATAAACCCAATCCTAGACATGTATTTATAAAAAAACCCAAGCACTATTTAAACATAGAAACACACCCAAAATCAACTCCAAAGTCAACTTTTTGGGTGTGTTTATAAATGGGTTTTGAGTGTGTGTAATGATGGGTTTTGGGTGTGTTTATAAAGTGTTTTGGGTGTTGGGTTTTTTTATAATTTCAACCTCCATTTTGGGTGTTTTAGTGAAACTCCCTAAAATAAATTCATTTCATGGCCAAGTATGAATACGAATAATTTTTTTTATACACTTTAGCCAACTTGACTATGCCCATATCTGTGATTCGTGAATACGAATAATTTTTTAAGTTCAGTCTTTTTTGTTAGGTTTTTTATAGCGTAGCGAGAATGATATCTTAAGAAAAATACGGATGAGAGAGAAACTCTGGGAAGGGAAGAGAGAGAAAGAGCCTAGGGTTTCAGCAATCCTTGGGATTTTTGGCAATTAGAAGAAGAGGAAGAAAAAAGCAGATTGGGAGACTTTGGTTGGTTTTGAGCTGTGGAAGCTTTGATTGGGAGACTTTGGAGTCGGTTGGGCTTCCCAAAGCAATTTTGGGGACCTAAATTACTACTCCAAGCTGGATTTTTTCTTGTCCTTAGGATCGTGTTTTTGAAGGTTGGAGTGCTATTAGGACTGTTGGCCTTCACGAAGCACTTTCAAACGATTTCTTTTTGGGAAGTGCTAAATTTAATTGGCTCTCACTTCTCTCTCCTTATCTAATTAATTATGATTGTCTTAATCTCGAGTATTTAACTCAATCTAATGGCCAGAATTTGAGGAGATGGATTAGCCCTATGAAGCTGTAGGCGTGGGAGAAACCCTATGCAGCTAATGTAGATCCTGGTGAGATAACTTTTTACCCAAAACAAGCTGTCTGCATGCATTGGTGGTTGGGTGTTTACTACAATCATTATACTCGAATTACCTCTGGTATTTATATGGACACTTACTTCTCTTCTCCCAACTGCTTCCTCTGCTTTACTCTTCTTCTTCTGTTTTACTGTGACTGTGCTTTCTGTTTCAATATGAGTGCTCAACTCAATGGCAGTTATTCCCATGCTCGTGCACGTAGCCAAGTCCGAGGTTTGAACCTCAACCTGGAAGAAGGTCTTCTCTTGAGCCTTCTGTGATCCACAAGGGTAGGTTTATCTTTAGGCTGGAGAGAAATGAAACTAGAGTCTCCACAAATGCATTGGCCCCTAGTGTCCAAAGTCATTACGAGACTTTCTATCTGGAGGGTGGATGAAAGCCTTTGGTGTTCCTGTGCTGATCAAGGTCATTAGCTAGGCAAAGACTAAAAATTGAATGGAAAAATCTGCAAAGGGATGTCTCTATTGATCACATGGGTCGTGACTGGTACAAGGTGGAGTTCTTTGAGGAAGAGGTGTTGTTTGTGTTGGAGAATTGACCTTGGTTTGTCCAAGGCCAAATCTTTGCTTTGAAGCCCTGGACTCCTGACTTCTCCCCCCTTCCATGCTATGGTTAATTCCTTAGTGTGCTGGGCTAGAATTCCCTTCTTGCCTCTACATTACGAGGATCCTGAGGTGCTGCATGATTTGGTCTCTATTCTTGTTGACCCTATTACTATTGATTTGCCGCCTTTGGAAGGCAAACAGAGTATGTTTATGAGAGCTAGGCTCTAGTTAGACCTCATCAGGCCTTTGAAGAGATGGTTAGTTTTGGGAGAAAGTCCCAAGGAAATAAAAAAATTCGTGAGTTATGAAACTCTTTTTGTTATATGTTTCTACTGTAGCCAAAAGATGGAAAGAGGACTTGTTTGTCCTGTGAAAGTCTGCAACAAAAATTTCTTACAAGTGGATAGGTTAGAGAATGAACCTAATGTCTTTTCCTGAGATATGATCTTAGCTGTTGATGAACAAAGGCAGCTGTTAGAAGATGTCATCTGTTTGTGCAAATAATCTTGCGGGAGAATATTCGCTTCTAGATCCTTCAACCTTTGATCTTCCTTTTCTCTCTTCCTTGTTTCCTATAAAAAAGATTGGAGTAAATATACCACACCCGTGGGGTGTTGGCCAAAGGCCCTCTGATGCCTAAGTTAGTTCGAGTGTTTGTAGAAAAACAATAGCTAAGCAAAGGGTATGGAGTTGTATGTAGGGTGTGAATCGGGCGGCCGGAGCCGTGTGTGGTGGCCAGGGCCGTGTGGAGAAAATATGGAGAGTGGAGAGGGAGAGAGAGCTTTGGATATTTTTCTCGGATATTAGGAGTATGTTTAGATGTGGGTTTTTTTGAAGTACATTGAATGATGAATGAAGTCGTCTATTTATATGAGCCTCGAGGCTAGGGTTTCGTAGAGAATAAACTCTTATTCTGATGAGTTTATTCTTTACCCAAATTCGTAGGGATCGAATTGGACTTGATTATATCCCTTTATTGAAGATAATATCTGAATTAATGATATTATCTTTTCTTTATTATGATAATATCTGAATTAATGATATTATCTTATTAAATGAAGATAATATCCTATTAATTAAGATATTTATCCCTATTAATTAATTGACCAGATAAACTGATTCAATTAATTAATTTAATAGATAATCTTCTTTTCCACGTGGCGTGCTATGAGGAGACGAAAATATTTGCTCCCACATCATCTTTGTCTTCCCCCAACCTATAACTTTGGACTCCTTCAGCAGTTTTGAGGAGCATGCTGATCAGGGTAGAAATTTCCCACTAAAGAGAAGGACCCAGGCTGCACAGTGGTGTCCAACAATAAGGGCAACGCCAAAATGCAAATGCGAGATGGCATAACCTTCAGAAATGTTGCTAAAGTTATCAAAATTATTGAAGGAGGAACTGCTCCTACTGGTAGAGTTTAGTTTAAAGATGCTAGTAACACTAGCAAGGGAAAAGGTAAGGCTGTCCCAGGAGGTTCACAACCTTTATGATACTTTTGCTTACAAAAGCCCTAAGAAAAGGACAAGAGAAGTGATGGAAGAGATTGAGGAAGAGTCTGATCCTAGTGTGAGATGGTGGGAGAAGTTTTAAAGGTGTTTGATCTCTCGACCTGTGCCCAGCATGATTTTTTCTTTCAAGCCATGTTTATATTACTACTTTAGTTTAAAAGTTTTTCTGTATTTTGGATTCTAGAGCCTCGAGGACTAGAGCTGAGGTTATAGCTCAGAGGCTTGGTTTTAATGGTTTATTTTGTATCCCAGCTATTGGTCAATGTGGGGGGATTATCTTATAGTGGAATCATTCCCTTATTAATATATCTGTTTTAGAATATCATGAGCATTTTATTCATCGTCGTGTTCAAGATCTAAATAATCATAAAACCTGGTATTCCACCTTTGTTTACATCTACCCTCAAAAGGATAAACACAAACCACTTTGGCCTGATATTTTTGCTCTTAAACCCCGAATTTCAGAAGCTTGGGTGCTTCTGGGTGATTTCAATAATATATGTAGTCTTAGTGAAAAGTTGGGTGACAATCAAACTATTATTTGGTGCAATGGTCATAAGGATAACTCAGTGATTTATAAAAGACTTGATTGAGCTCTAGCCAATCCCAACTGGTTGCAGTTCTACCCCAATTGTGTTATGCAAAACCTTCCTATTATGAGGTCGGATCATGGCCCCAATTTGTTTAATGTGCCCCACTGTCCAAAGGAATAAACCTAAAGCTTTCAAATTTGAAGCTATGTGGTTGTCTCATCAGGATTTTCCTCTCATTGTTAATCAAGCTTGGAATGTTACCTATCAGGGTATTGCTACCCATAGGTTAACACTTGTTGTAGAACTTTTCAACACCTCCTTAAGAGATGGAATCGTGAAGTGTTTGGTAACCTATTTCACAAACTCAGCTCACTTCAGCATGATATATAGAATATTCAAGATCAGCTAGCTTTAAGCTCCAATGACCATTACCGTAGGGCTAGATACTTAACCATCAATAAGGAGATCAAATAACTTCTAGAGCATGAAGAGCTCTTTTATGCGCAAAAAGCTCGAGCCAACTGGCTGAATTTAGGCGATAAGAACACTCGATCATTACTTCCATACCCAAGCTCTCATTAGAAGAGAGAAACTAAATCCTAAAACTTAAAGATGGTCAAGGAAACTGGGTGGAGGACGATAATGCCTAATTCAAACCATTTTTTCAGCTTTTAAAAAAAGATTTACATCCTCAAGCCCACCCTCCCAAAACTCTCTTAGGGTACCACTATAATCCAACCTTACATTACTGATACTGATAATGCTAACCTTTTAGCTCCTGTTATTCAGTTGGAGTTGGAAAATTTTGTTAGAAGCATTGGAGCCCTGAAAGCCCTTAGGGCTCATTTGGTATGCGGGACTCTCATGGACTAGACTAAATATTGGGACTGTCTTGGATTGGCTTGGCTTGGCATAAGCTAAATAAGACTTGTACTGTGTTTGGTGCACGATTGGATAGGACTAAATTTTTTGACTTTTTAATTTTTAATTTTTTTTTGTGCATTTTTTTTTGTTTTTTTTTTTTTTCTTTTCTTCTTTCTTTCTCTATTGTTTTATCTTCTTCTTCCAACCTGCGACTTCTTCATCTTCTTCTTCTCCCTCCTCTCTCCTTCTCCTCTTCTTCTCAATCTATTTGTCTCTCTGCTTCTTAATTCAAAATTTTGTATTCCCTCATTTTCCTATTTCACTATTTCTCTCTTCACCCTCCTCTCTCTTCAATAGCCACATGCCCAAACCCCACAATCTAAATTTGAGGAGGCTTCTACCTAGGTGGGTTCTTTGATGATGAATTGTTTGATGGTTAACTATTGTTTTATGAGGTTCTTCTCCTAATTTCATAAAAAGAAAAAGCAATTTGAATTAATTGATTTATTTCCTCCATATGGGTTTAGTAGCAGACTTAGAGAGAGAGAGAGAGAGAGAGAGAGAGAGAGAGCGCAACTGACATGGATGAGAGTTGGAGGCCATGGCTGTGACGAGGTGTGTGCTTAGGTGGGAGTTGATGGCTGTGACGAGGTGTGTGGTGGGGTGGGAACTGATGGAAGAGATGAAGGCCTGGAGAGGGGAGGAAGTCGTGAGCGATGAGGAGGGGATTATTTGTTCCCCCTTCACACACGGGTCTCACTAAGCCAAGTTAAGAAGGTGTTTTTGGTGGGCCCCAGATTATTAATCCCATATAAAACTAGAACCATATGACAACAAATATGGGATAATTTTTTATCCAAGCCAGTCCAAGTTAGGGAGGCATACCAAACGAGCATCCACAGTGGGCTCCCTAAACCACCTCCTTAGCTAAAATTTGGGAATTAAAAAAAAAAAGGTTTTTTAGGTTTTAGACATAAAAAAAATTTCACTTTTGGAAAAAGCCAAAGCGTTTTCAAAAAAGACAAAAAAAACCGCTCAACTTTCAAATCAAAGACATGCAAATGTATTGGATTCCTTAGGAAATCTAAAAATAAATAAGGGCATTTTTGTCCATTTTTGCTTCTTTAAAAATTTTTCTCTCTCCTTTTGCTTTTTCCAAAATGTCCCTTAAAAAAACCCACATCCAACCATGCTCTCTATTCAGCTCTTAAAATAGGGAGACCTCTAGAAGTTCCTAAATCTGATGAGAGAGAAAGTACTCATAGTGACTCCCTATAATTAAATGCTTCTATTTTAAGTATTTATTTGATACCAACTATTTTTATTATTGCTTTTGTGTCTACACTTTATTCAAAAATTGAATTAAAATTTATTAAAAACATTTATAACTCTTTAAACTAGGGAGTATGGTTGGAGTTGAAATTTTATAGAGAACTCCTAAAATAGTTTTCTAGTGTTTTTAGCTAAATTTTAACTAAAAAATAGAGAGCGTGATTGTGGATGCTCCTTATGGGCTTCATGCCATGTTTTATCAGTAATATTGGGATACCACTAAGCCCTTTCGGAAAAATTTGGTCAATGACTTCTTTGTTCATAACCTATCTTTGAACGAGATTAATCACACTAATATAGACCTTATCCCTAAGGTTAATACTTCGGAAACTATTTCCTAATTTCGACCCATTAGTCTTTGTAATGTTACTTGCAAAATCATTACTAAGATCATCATAAACAAATTAGGACCACTCCTCTCCAAATGTATCTCTCAGAACCAAGGTGTACCCCTGGTATGTCTATTTTTGATAATATCCTAATTGCTCATGAGCTGTTTAATGACTTCAAAAGCAAGAAAGGCTCTAAAGGAGTTATGGTTTGTTAAATTGGATCTTGAAAAGGCTAATGTTCTTGATTGGTCTTATCTCAAAACTTGTCTCCTCATGTTTGATTTTAGCATTGATTGGTATGATAGAATTATGAATTGCATTACGACCTCTTCTTTCTTTGTCTTAATTAATGATACCCCTCAATGTCATTTTGCCCCATCGAGAGGCATCAGGCAATGGGACCCTCTTTCCCCTTATATTTTTATTCTGTGTATTGAACCTTCATTAGGCACTGTAATTTGTTAGCCTCTTCCACCATGTCTAATGTGGGTTTAATTCTCATCCTCTAGGGGTTTTCGCATTTCTAATTTGGTGTTTGATGATTGCCTATTGTTTGCTAGATCTACTCCTGTAGTTGCTATAAGTGTCAATCAACTGCTTACTTCTTTTTCTGCAGTGTCCAAACAAAATATCAACTTGCATAAATCTATTGTGTATCTCTAATAATGTTGCTGCTAATCTAAAAACTAATATGAGTACCATCTTGAAAATTCAACATAAAACTACTATAGGTCGTTATCTTGGTATTAGTAATATTGTGTCTTGGAGTATTAAACTTCTAGTTAAAGACATCCTCCTACTATGTTCCTTTTGTAATTTTCCATCTTTCACTCATGTCTACCGAGAAGCAAACTTCACTGCCGATGTCACTGCCAACTTAGGCCATGGGCTTCATCCTTCTACCTTATGGGAGCATGAGCTGTCGTTGAGCTATTGTATCCCCTTTTATTTTGACCTTATTAAGCATGCATGCTCTCGTGATTTTTGCTTGCAATTTTTATTTTTCTCATAATAAAAATAAAATAAAATTGATATCTTAGTTTTAAGAACATGGTAGGCAGGCACGATTAACAAGGTAATGATATTAAAATAAAATTTACTATGAGAAAAGGTAAGGGTGATTTTATTGGCACCCCAAAATTTGCTCTTTGCACCCCACTGAGTTTTAGTAAAATTTAAAATTACTCATTACACCCCATTTTTCTTCCTAAATTGCCCTCATGAACTCCATTCTTTAACTGACCTGTGTAAATCCCACCAAAATCGTTACCTTGTTTTAGTGGTAGTCCACCAAATTTGTTTTCTTTTTTCAGTGGCTGACTACCTAATGTGTTTCCATTTTTTAGTAGTAATCCACCAAATCTGTTTCAGTTTTTCAGTGGTAGTCCACTAAATTTGTTTCCTTTTTTAAGTGGTAGTCTACTGAATTCGTGTCTTGTTTAAGTGAATCCGTTTCTTGTTTCAGTGATCATTTACCAAATTCATTACTGAGTTTGTACTTAATATTATTTTTTAGATATGAAGAGGACTTGCAGAGATACTACTGAGGCTTCATCATCTCGACCTGATAGATAGCGTCCCACAACCTTAACGAGGAGACATAGAGCGGGGAGGTAAACCTCTCAAGAGGACCTGACAGGACCCGACCCAAATTCCACTTTGGAATATGAGCCGACCCTATGCATGTCCGACACTTGTCAGGTGACGGGCACACTTGACCAAATTGCCCTTCTAACAAAAACCAAAATTTACTTCAAGTTTGACTTCTGCCGAAAATTCGGCAGAGTCTCCCCTGTAAATGCTCGTTTTCAAAAATTTACACCTGTAAGAACAGAAATTCATAACCACAACCGTTCACACATGCACCAAGTTTAAATTCAAGCAATCCAACAACAGAACTTTATGGCCTCAAGCCTTATAGAAATCCTAGGGTAATTTCAGAGAAATACTAATCTAATAAATTACAAACGAAGCATGGAAACGTGAAAACATCCTACATAATGGAAATAGGATGAAAAGAAGTGATGATTGCCCGATGGTGGTGCTCCGATACACATGGGGCAAATGTCAAACGCGCGCTGACTCAACCTAAGGCAACTAAGATGTCCGTGGACATCATTATAACCGAAGGCAACATATAATCCAAAGGCAACATCTTGGGTACCTATGGTGGTTCTAAAATCTTTCTTGGAAAATTATAATTCTATTTCTCAAAAAATCCTTTAGTCCTGTTATCAATTCTTTTCCTACTTTCCAAGCCATTTACATTTTAAACATAAACATAATTTAATAAAAATATTTTAATTCAAATATTTATGCTTGGAAAGTAATAATCATAAATAATTCATTCAAGATCAATTAATGAAATTTTAATTGCATAAAATCCATTTATAAAACAAAAGTCCACTCACTGAGCGTCCGAGCTATCCTGACCCTTTTAGGGTCCTTCTTGCTGGTTTAGTGAAGTTTGAGCACCTATTTAAGCAATTAAAAACATTTAATTAATAACATAGCTCAACTATATATATTTAATCAAAACCCCGACCCCCGGCCTCAAAAGTGCGTGTACACAATTTAAGGAAGTTCCTAGGCCAATTTTCAATATTTATGACAAGTGGAATGGTCTGAAAAGATCCAAGATTCAATAAGCAATTAATTTCCCATAATAGTCAATTTGGTACCCCATGGGGTCCGCGATCTCCGATTACTAATCCGCGGGTTTGTATAAGTTCAACACATTTTACTAAACATGCCCTGCAAATTTGGTCCAAATCGAACGGTCAGATTGCTCATGATCGGACGATTAACGTTTAACTAAACTTTGAATTATTGAATCAAATTATCCGGGACTCCGATTCTCGATTCCCGAATTTCTACAAAATCCTAGAAGTGCCTAGATCAACATATTTGAAAATGAAGTTGATCCAACAGTTTGAACATATCGAACCCGGATAACACCTAATGTGTGATATCTGATCGACGATCAAACGATAACCAAATTGAAATCCGAGCATGCCGTCGTGCTCAGGAAGACATGAGGATTATTTTAGGACTCAAAAACTTGCCAAAAAGTGGCCCATGCACCGCCACATGCCCCGGCAGCATGTGGGTGTCCAAAGCGATTCCAGTGATAGGAAAATCTCCAAACCACCGGTCAAGACTTATACCTACATGATCAACACATAGAGTTGAGCAACTTTTGTTCTTGGACCTACCCTAAAAAGTGGCTGGAAGTGGCCGGAATCGCGAGCCGAAAACAGCCAAAATTCAATCGCTTATTTGAGTTACAAAATGCAGAAATCGTTCCTAAATGACCCAACCAACAGCTAGAACACATTGAGAGGATAGAAAGCATACCTAGGTCGAAGAAATTGGTGGCCAAAATCGCCGGAACGAGCGACGAAAATTTATAACAAAAATCTGGCAGATTTTTCGTCAATTTTCACATCCAAAATCTGGAGAATTCTTGGCTTTTAAGGGTAGATATCATATGGTTTTGTAGAGGAGGAGGAGGAGAGCAACTTTCGTGAAGGAAGCACCATCAACCGACGTCGGAAAGAGCAGGAAATTGACCGAGAAGTGGCGTCTACGAGAAAGAAAAAACAAACTGGAGTTGTTGGTTTGAGGGGAGAGAGAGAGAGAGAGAGAGAGAGAGAGAGAGAGAGAGAGAGAGAGAGAGAACTGCCAGTTTTTTAAAAAAATCTGACTTCGCAAAAATTACGATTGTGCCACTAGACTTCTTTTGATCGTAATTTCTTCGTTACAACTCGGATTTTAGCCTACTATTTGTCTACGGACTCATCTCGACGTGCTCTACGCGGTACAACTAAAATCCCCAAATTCCTTCCCGAACAAAAAGTCAACTTTGAAACCATTAAAATATTTCCAAGGTAAAATTGTATTTTATTTGAATAAATTAATAATTAAATATTAATTTAGGATCAGGTTATTACAGGACCAGCCCTACCATGGTCCCCCAGACCTCTTTGAGGATGCTATAGAGGTTAAAGATGTAGTCGCTCATAGTAATGTTGATCCAAAGGTTGAAGATGTAGCTACTACTCATGATAGTAATGTTGAAGTAGATGCCGGGTTTACTGAGCCATCTCAAGTAGGTCCCATTAATTCATCTTTATTTACGGGTTTTAAAACTCACATAGCAACTGCAATTTGAAATAACTAGGTAAGTTGTTTTACTGTAACAATAGAAGGTGTAATATAAGTCTGATTCATGGTAATTAACCTAAATATTTTTTTTTACTAGGAACGTGAGCCCCTTAGGAGCATGTTGAAGACATACACCCTTCATGAGTGGAATTGGTGGGCTAATCCAAATAATGGTATATTCAAATGGTATATTCAGAGGTCTGAATTAGAGCAACTTATTAGGTGTTCTTATCGGAATGCATATAAGATTGTTGTATCTACCTTCGTTGAGAGGTGGCATCTTGAAACAAACACCTTTCACATGCCTTTTGGTGAGATGACCATCACATTGGATGATGTGTCATCTATTTTAGGGGCGTCACCTTGTTTTGTTCCTTCAATGGGAGTAAGGTCAAAATAACTTGCATTAAATTTGTGGTCGACAATAAATTACTAAAAAAATAAATATATTTCGATTCATTGCCACTGAATTGTAGGTAAAAATTGGGTAATACACTACCGAACACCGTTCCATGTTACGGTAGATCTCCACCGCGTCTTAAGTTAACGGTCGATCAAACACAATACCAAAATAGGTGCAATGTTTTGGTGGCATCCCACCGAATTTACCTATCGCGTTTGGTATTGGTGTGCTGAACACAACCAGTGACCATCATGAAATCCTAAACTTGAAAAATGGCAAAAAATAAACTCACACCTCATTCGAAGACTTTCTAACTTCAGTCTCACCTTTTATGAATAAATACAAGATATTTTTCACCAATACAAGTTTATAAATCTCGTTAGGATTGTAGGAACATGATAGTTTGAGAAAAAAGTCTAACTAGGGTCACAAGAACATATGTGGGGTGTAGTTAGCAAATTTAATTTTTATTTTAAATGTTTTTTGTCATTAACGGTAATTATGTACAAGGATAAAATAGGTTATTTATGTTTAAAATTATTATGGGATTCAAATAGCAAATAATGGGGTGCCAATAAAATCGCTATGATTTTTTTTGGTTCTCAACGCTAAGCTTTGATATAAAGAAGCACTCCCCGCTTGGGCCAAAGACAAGTTGCAAATCAGCCTCAAAAAACTCGGGCTAACCTAACGACAAAACCACATAGCAATATTTCTGAAAGATGCGGGTACTTCGATGTTAGAATTGAAAATTGGGAGTTTCACTAAAACACCCAAAATAGGGACTGAAATTATAAAAAAACCCGACACCCAAAACACTTTATAAACACACCCAAAACCCATCATTATACACTCAAAACCCATTTATAAACACACCCAAAAAATATACAATTGTTGATTTTGGGGTTGATTTTGGGTGTGTTTCTATGTTTAATTAGTGCTTGGGTTTTTTTTATAAATACATGTCTAGGATTGGGTTTATTTATAAATTTGTATTGAAAATTCGAGTATAACATTTGTTATGGTGAAAATGTTCAAGATACTAAACTAAAATTAACCTTAAAAAATTTATTGATTCTAACCAATTATATAACTTCAAAGAAAGTAAATCTACCACTATAAGTCTACTAAATGTGGATCCATAGCCTCTAAATTGTTTGGCTAGGGACGAAGCCAAAAGTAAAAAAATCAGTAACTGACTGATCTCAATGGTGCTTCACGATAATTCATTTCACCGATCCATTGAGTCATAACCAATATTCTTCAAGTACCATAACGCTGCTTCAGCCGCGTGCTCTGCTGCTGATTTCTTTTTCGAACGAGGAGCGCCAAAGCATTCCAAAACTGTCTTTTCAGTTTCTTCTATCTCAACAATAACCTTGTAGGTGAACCTGTTTAAAATAAGGGTTTGGTTAGTCACTAATAACAAAACACTAATTACAATAGGCATCAAATTTTTAAAGAAAAAAACAACTTAAATTGCTGTGCGCATTCTGATTATATAACATGTTTTTGGGCATGGTTGGAAGTGATTCTGGTTCTTCTCCATGTAGTAATTTTAAGCGATTCGAAGGAGAAACACCTCCCATGTGCATCTTCATAAAATCACTTAAAAATACTTAAAGTGATTATATGGATAAGTGATTATTCCAGAATCACTCTCAAACGATCTTGAACTTGGCTTTCTAGAATATGATCTTGAACTTACATTCTCGTGTGGGGTGGTCCTTCCTCTTTGCAGCACTCATACAAAGGGAGCTTCCATTTTTTTGCAACACATATCTCATATAACTGTGATCTTGCTGGTAGCTTATTACAAGAACCTGCTAAATCGATCAAATGGAGTAAGTCCTGGAACTTTGTTCTTATGCAATATATCAAGGAGATTCTGGAAGTAACTTTGAGCAGCACAAAACAATTGCAACTTACTAGAGATGGTCGATGGATTTTATAACCATTAATTGGTAAAAGCACCATTTTCTATTTTTCTGGAATATTTAATCGGCAACTTTCTAGGACAATAACTATTACAAGACTTCAGTTAAACTAACTCCAACCCTTTTCGGTAAGGTCATGCTAGAGAGACCATCTCTCTAATAGAGGTTAAGTGCACCAATACAATGGATCTCACCATCTGTTAGAGAGATAGTACACAAGTTGGTCTCTAAAGATGTAGAAACACTTACATGAAATTGGGATAACATTATCCCCAACCAATCACGGTATGCCACGTGTGATCACTTTTCCACATGTCAATTTGTGATTGGTCGGAGATAGCAAAATAGTGTTATTCCCTTTTCATATAAGTTTACATTTGTGTGTTTTATCATTTTTCAGTGGACATCACTATTTTACAAATAATTACATAAATCTTTTTCTTATAGACTTTTCATAAATAGACATATTCCAACATGACATTTTATACAAAAATCCTTGAAGTCTATTTGGAGGAAAAAAAAAGCCCCGAATTATCCACTTGTCATTTTCTAATTGATTGTTAGTGTATTAAAAAATTAGACTGGAAAGCACACAGCATAGAGTTTTCCTGAAGTATTGGTTTTGAAGGGTGTTTTTTATAAAATCCCATATTAAAATGGACTTATTTATAATAAAAAAAGCTATATTTTCTTTTGTCCATAGCTATTGGTGATGTGATGTGATAGTGAAAACAGAGAAATACCCAAAATAATTATAAACAAAGCACTGCAATTTTGTAAACATGGGTAAAAGATCTGTACCTTCATTTGTTGAAGCAGTCTTTTCATTAGCCCCAATCTCTCTGTCAGAAGAAAATTCCCTGCACCCTGTAGAACTAATAGAAGCATCTTCAACCTTCAAATTTTCAAGTTGTTGAGATATATCGGCAGGATCTGAATTTGTAGCTTTCTCATCACATCCAACCACCTTCACTCCCTCTTTGGGGCTTGGATTTTCACCTTTGAGTACAGGCATTGGACGGGTTCTCTAGCAACCTGAAAGCCAACAAATAAAAGAAAACCCAATAATTATTAAATAAATAAATAAAGAATTGATAAAACCTGTAAAAAGTGGGTATATTGGATTAGAGGATTTGGATGGGTTGATGGGTCTTACAAGATTTATGGATCTAAAGGGGTTGTGTGGTGTGTGAGATTGATGATGAAAATATGAAAGCTCGAGGCTTTTCTGGGTCTCTCACTCACCGGGATTGGTTCTCTCCATATAAAGATACAAAGACAAGACAAGTGGCACTTACTCATGGAGTTGGTGGGGGTGACAAGAACATTCTTATCAAAATTGCTAAGCTGGATTTTTTGGCATCAGCTTCCCAAAAACAAACGTCTGGCATCAATACCTTAAACTACCTGTATTTTTCTTTCACAAAAGCTACCCACAATTTTATCCTAACAGTGTAGCGGACCCATACGTTGAAACAAGAAAAGGATTGTGGATGGTTTTGGGAATCTGGATATTGTCATATACTTCATGTCCTTTCTTATTACAAAAAAAATAGTTTAAATTTTAATTTTAAAATGCTAAACTATATGACACATTGTTTGTTTCTTCAAGATTCCAAAGTTTAGGTAGTATGTATTGTTCTGGTTGCACAGGTTTTCAATCTATGTAGAACTTATCATAGCCTACATCATATGTGTTTCCACTTATGTTGACTTAAGTTTTTATTTTTCTTTCCATCTGGATTTCATATCATTTTTTGAGATGAAATTTTCTGGCATATTCATTCTCTTTCACTAAATTTGCTTGAGTATTCACTGAATGGAATTTAAAATTTCTATGTGGTGGGGTATATGAGTCCACCAATCTTCCCTTTATGCTGATGCGGATTAATTTTACAATTAAGGCTCCGTTTGATATTGTCTTTTTGGATTTATAGTCACTTATTTTGATATAGAGGCCCATCTCTTGATTAGGTTGGTAAGGTTGTACATTTTGAGATTTATACGGAAATTTATTGCGTTGTACCAAAATATTATCACTTGGCTTAGAGTCAATCTTGACTCAACAACTATTATGCGTTGGTTTGAAATTTGTTTTTGTGTTGGTATAATACGTTGTGCGTATATACTTGTATCATTCCTACAATATTGCACCCATAGTATAGCGATGCATATGGGGTAATTTATGGTTTTCTCGAAGACTATCGGCCAGATGAAATTGCATCTATATTTGGTAAGTGCATAAATAAGAGAAAATGGTATTTCCTATCTTCAATTTCCAGCATTCCCAAACACGAGAATGAATGTATTCCATTTTCTCATCTCTTGGATTAAAATTGAAAGTTTCATTCCCAAGAAGTTCGATCCACGAACCAAACAGGCCGTAGGTCCTACGTCTAGGCTAACATGGGTTGTAGCCTAAGTGACTTGAGTTTTTGTAGCCTAAAATAATACCACAGACCATGTGACCATCCCCATCCCAGCCAATGAATCTCATTAACAAACCTACCCCACTTGTCTGACAAATAAAATAAAGGGTATACTAGTGATTTGCCCCCTAAACTTGTACATAACTTTCAATTAACCTCCTCTCCTTTTTTTTTAAGAAAATTAAGGATATTAACTTTTTTTTCCCCCCCAATTTCCCCCCTATCATCAAAATTCTCAACATTTCATCCAATTTCAGTTAAATCATTTTAAAAAATTGAAGAAAAAGAATAAACCTAATGCCAACCCCTTCCATCTCCTCCCTTCATCCTCCCATTCCACCATGACCACCATCCTTTACTCCTAGACCAATCCCCCACCCCCCACAAACCCTTCTGTATTTTCATCCCCTAAACTCATCCCACCCACCCACCCCACACACCCCCCACCCCCACCCCCCTCCTCCTGGTGTTTCTTCTCCTCCCATTCCCTCATGACCACCACCCTCCACTCCCAAACCAATCCTACACCCCACAGACCCCTGCCCTCACCTCCTCTCTTCTGTTTTTTTACCCTCTCCCCTAGTCCGCCACCCTCCCCCCTCCTCCTTTGGTTTTCTTCGTCTGCACCTGCACAGAGAGAGAGAGAGGAGAGAGAGAGGAGAGAGAGAGAGAGAGAGAGAGAGAGAGAGAGAGAGAGAGAGATAGTATTATTTGAATTTTTTGGTTTTTACTTTATTTTTAATTTTTAATTTATTTTAATGTAAAAATGACCATTTTGCCCTCATATTTAATGGCAAATTGGATGAAATGTTGCATATTAAGTCACTTTTGGTCCCTGTAGTTTGGCACTTCAACCACTTTTAACCCTGTAGTTTCAATTCCATCACTTTTGACCATGTTGTTTCGTATTTGTAGCAATTCAAGGACAACTTAGTATTCCTGTCAATTTCTTTGACGGTGCAAAGGGCAATTTCGTCAACCCAAAATCCTTGAACATAAAAGCTTGTCTAAAAGTCCCCTAATTTCATATTAGGGCTTGAAATTGGTCATTCGGGTTTAGGGTTCTTCAAAAATTGGGATTAATGGTTGAATTTCGAGCCCTAATATGAAATGGGGAGAATTTCAGACGAGCTTTTACTCTCAAGGGTTTTGGATTGACAAAATTGCCACTTGCATCGTTAAAGAAATTGACAAGAATACTAACATGTCCTTGAATTGCTACAAATATGAAACTATAATTGCAAAATTGACACAATTGAAACTATAGGGTCAAAAGTGATTGAAGTACCAAACTACAGGGACTAAAAGTGACTTTTGTAAAGACTACACACAAATAAAATCCCATTAACAAACATATACCACATATCTGACTAATAAAAAATAAAAACTAACCCCGCAAAGGACCAACCCCTTATGCAGAAAACATTCATTCGCTCTTTTCTTTTTTTTCATTCTCTCTTGCTCAGTTACGTACCTAACCCCTGTTCTTCGACAAAAAAGAAAGAGATATTTAGTGATATACCCATTCTTAGCACTAATATTATAGATAAACCCTTCATCATTGAATTTCTATAAACAAACCCAAAAAAACCCCAAAAATGACAGCTGGCCTTATTGAATTTAATATTGATTATTAAATTACTTTAATGCCCTATTGAGTGTTTTGAGTATTTTTATGAGATTTTGAGGTTGGGTTTGTTTTAAGAAATTTATGGTAGTTTTGTAATTTATAAGAAGTTAAGGCCTTTTTGTTATGTTATAAATGGTTTTTGGGTGTGTTTATAAAGTTCATTTCATATGGGGTATTTTTATAATTTGGGCCCCCATATTGGGTATATTAGTGAATCTCCCAAAAAGAAAATCATCCCTCCCTACCTACTGCTGCACGCCAAAGCCAATCACCCATATCATTCTTGAAGACTAAATTAAAGCAAACTAAGGCTTCAAATCTTCTTCTTATTTAATTTTCTTATCTAAATTTGTTGATGTTGTAATTTTGGAGATTTAGGGATTCGGAAATTTCTTTCATTTTCTTAAATCTATTTAATTGCATGTTTTTTATTTTTTTTTTTTTTTTGTTTTTTTTTTTTTTTTTTTTTTTTTTTTCTCTCAGAAATCACTATCAAAATACTAGTGATTTGCTCCCTAAAATACTAACATGTACTATATGCATTTTGAGGGGTGAGGCTCATTATGTTCTGCATGTTTTTTTTTGTTATCAATGAAATTTACTTGAATCGTCGAGTAATAATCTATAGGTTTGTATGAAAGGTAAATTTAGCCCACGCCATTCTCTAATCTTGGGTATGTCCTTGGCTGTTTGGCATGGAAAACAAACGAATCTTACAGGCGACATCTTTTTCGAGTCATTTTCTAAATTGAGAATACTCCAAATTTGAAGCAAGAAAGAGAGATGCATGAAATTAAATATTTTTAATTTTTATCCGCAATTTACCTTAAAGTGTTAAATGATTATAAAGTATAAATAATAAAACATTTAAATCAACAAAAACAAAATACTTGCACTAAATTGAATAGAAACACAAGTTTTTGGACTAGTGTCATGGACCGCTTACTTGATACTCCAAGCCATGTATAGAAGGGCCAATTTCCTCCGAGTTCACTGAAGATAGCTTAACTCGTTGTATGCATTTGCCCATATGAGAATATTCTAGAGATTTGCCTTCTAGAGTGTTATGTAGTGTCTAGATACGTTGCATGTTTTAGGGCTTCCCTTGTATTACCGTTGGATCACTGTAATCTTGACTATCCATTTAGTAAGGATGGCAATAGGCCGATTCGAGGTCGGGTATGACAATACCATCCCCGTCAAGGGCTAGAGATTTTCCTTCTAGAGTGTTATCTAGTGTCTAGATACGTTGCATGTTTTAGGGCTTCCATTGTATTAACGTTGGGTCATTGTAATCTTGACTGTCCATTTAGTAAGGATGGCAACATGCCGGTTTGAGGTCGGGTATGGCAATACCATCCCCGTCAAGGGGCTTCTCTCAAACCACGTCCTTGATTTTTCTTTTTCTTAAAAAATACTTATTTTACATTATAATGCTAATTTCATCTTAAACTATCAATTGCATTTAATTGACCTATAAAATTCAATACAATTACTCACAATCATATCCATTTAATTTGACAAAACTGAATAAATATGAAATTATATATTTATTTTTTATATTATATTATAATCACATGTAGTTAGTTATATTATATGTATATTACTTAAGTTATCGGGCCAAGTTTGAGGATGGGGATAACAATACCATCCCTGGTCCATACCCGACCAGGAATTTTTGAAATTTGGGAAGGGTTTAGATTTGAAACTGACTTAGCTTGTTCATTTGGGCGACCAAGTCTAAGGCCAAGTTTGGGATTGCTGTCACTTTGAAAAAAAGTTGTTTCTGTTGTGCTTTGAAAATAATTAGCTGTAAAGTAAAGTAACTTCATGTTTGGTAACCAATATTTTTAAAGTGTTGTTAGTACAAAAAGCAGTGTCAAAACTATTTGGTAAATTTTAATATAAAACTATTGTAACAGTGAATAATGACTAAAATAGGCATGATGTTGAAAGTGTTATGTGCTAATCATATGGTGTAGTGGTGGTGGTGGAGTGGAGGTGATGGTAAAAGAGATGGAGATGAAGGTGGTGGTGGTGATGAAGGTGGAGTTGGTGATTGTGGTAGTGGTGGTGGTGGGGATGGCTATTGTGGAGGTGGTGGTGGCGGTGGCAGTGTAATGGTGGTTGTTGTGGTGTTGGTTGTGAAGGTGGTGGTGGATGTGGAAATGGTGGTAATGGTAGTGTTAGTGGTGGTCGATAAGGTAGTGATTGTGGTGGTGGTGGCGAAGGATGATGAGGATGAGGATGAGGATGTTGTGGTGGTGGTGACAATGGCAGTGGTTGTGTACGTGGTGAATGTGGTGGTAGAGGTGGTGCCTACTTTTAAAAGTTGCTATCAAAAGGCCACTGCTTTTAAAATAATCTGGATGTTTTATTTTACTAAACACCTTAAACTGCTTAACTTTAAAGTGAAGCAGGTTTTTGGCCAAAAAAGGCAATCCCAAACGGGGCATATACTAGGATCTAAATGTGCCTCAATTGATAGTCAAAATTTAGAAATTATTCAAATTTATTACTAAAAAGGTCGAAACAGTACAACAAGAGACAACATCATGACCAAGGAAAAAAAATCTTGCCCAACACCGACTATATACAATTATGGCATGTTTAGTAATCCGTAATTGGATTATGAAGAATTGAATTGAGAATGAACTGAATTGAGGAGGAGTTGAATTGAAGAGAATTAGATTCCGGATTCCTATTGAAGTTGTTTACTAAACCATATGGAATTGGGGTAGGAGTGGTGCTAATTACTAAAATGTCCTCGTTGTTGGGTTAAAGTAGATGGCAAATTTGAAATTTTTGAAATTGTGTGAGGATATAATGGGTAAAAAAGATGAATTCCTAATGGGTTAGTTCTCTAAGAATACCACCTCCCACCCAAGAATTGAATTCCCTCCAAAATCCGGAATTCACTTCCTAATTTTGTGTGGCCCCCGCTTACTTTTCAATTCCTTGATGTGAAGTAAAGGCAAGAATCCTCTATAGGTGGAATTCAATTCCTGATGAAAATTCCAATTCCTTATTAGTAAACACACCATTAGTTACACCTAGAATTTTCTCTATGGACGAGCTTGCAACAAAAAACAAGCCCAAGGCATAAGAGTAGAGACAAAGCTCAATACAGCACAACAAGCTATAGCATAATGTTAATGATGCAATCTTAACACTACTACAAAAAGTGACAAAGACGACCAGAAAAAAACGACGGTCTAAGTGAAAACCGTCGTTGTTTTTTAAAAGACGACGGTTCTATAAAATCGCCGTGTAATAACACCTTAGACACCTAAAAAATGGAGATTCAAATGGTTGTTTATAAACAACGACGTACCTAATTAAAAAACCGACGTCTATTTGAAACAGGATTTCCGCAGTGTAAAATCAAAGCAAATAAAGAACGGCAGAAGTTATGAATCAACCGACGTAGAAAGTAAAGACGACGATTTCAAAAAAAGCCGCCGTTTTTACGCAGAAAATAACACGACCAAGTTTTCGTATAAGGCGCCATATAATTACAAATAAATCCACGGCGGTAAAATACAAAATATCGCCGTATTAAATTAATGTACAACGACGGAAAATAAAAATATATCGACGTCTTTCTTGTATAGTTCTACGACGGTATCTTTAAATCTCACCACGTTTGTTTTTCATTTAACGACGTATTATAAAATTTAACGTCGTATTTATTCCCTTTATACGTCATACCTTATATTTAAACCGTCGTCTATTATATGTAAAGATGACGATTTTTTTAAAAACCGTCGTCTATTATATGTAAAGATGACGATTTTATAAAACCGTCGTCTATTATATATAAAGACGACGATTTTATAAAACCGTCGTCTATTATATGTAAAGACGACGATTTTTTATTACAAACCGTCGTTTATTATATGTAAAGATGACGATTTTTTTAAAAACCGTCGTCTATTATGTGTAAAGATGACGATTTTTTTTAAAACCGTCGTCTATTATATGTAAAGATGACAATTTTATAAAACCGTCGTCTATTATATGTAAAGACGACGATTTTATAAAACCGTCGTCTATTATATGTAAAGACGACGATTTTTATTACAAACCGTCGTCTATTATATGTAAAGATGACGATTTTTTTAAAAACCGTCGTCTATTATGTGTAAAGATGACGATTTTTTTTAAAACCGTCGTCTATTATATGTAAAGATGACGATTTTATAAAACCGTCGTCTATTATATGTAAAGATGACGATTTTTTTAAAAACCGTCGTCTATTATGTGTAAAGATGACGATTTTTTTTAAAACCGTCGTCTATTATATGTAAAGATGACGATTTTATAAAACCGTCGTCTATTATATGTAAAGATGAAGCTTTTTATAAAAAACCGAAAAAACCGTCGTCTATTGTATGTAAAGATGACGCTTTTTATAAAAAAACCGAAAAAAACCGTCGTCTATTGTATGTAAAGATGACGCTTTTATAAAAACCGAAAAAACCGTCGTCTATTATATGTAAAGACGACGCTTTTTATAAAAAAAACCGTCGTCTATTATTTGTAAAGATGACGCTTTTTATAAAAACCGTCGTCTATTATATATAAAGATGACAATTTTTTTTTAAAAAAAGGGTCGTCTATTATATATAAAGATGACGTTTTTTTTATAAAAAATGGTCGTCTATTATATGTAAAGATGATGGTTTGTTATAATAACCGTTAAATCATGATTTTTCATTTATAACCGTCGAAATTTTTTGTCCCGTTACTTTATCTTTGAATGTTTATTTTTTTCGATTTTTGGTGTAGATGATCTCGAAGTATAAACAAACAAGTTTGACGGTTGGATCGTTGAAACTAGTTTCTTAGAATGCGTATGCCATCAAAACAATATATTCACTAACAATTAAGAGTTTATTTATACTTTCGTTAAATATAACATAAGATTTTGTGGTATCCACTAGTGTAAATATTTTAAATTGAAGATCAAATTCAGTCATTGTATTCATATAGGGTCAAGGAGTGTAGCGGTAAAAAATCATCAAAATCAGAGTTAAAATAACCGTTAAATCATGATTTTTCATTTATAACCGTCGAAATTTTTTGTCCCGTTACTTTATCTCTGAATGTTTATTTTTCTTAATTTTTGGCGTATATGATCTCGAAGTATAAACAAACATGTTTGACGGTTGGATCATTGAAACTAGTTTCTTAGAATGCGTATGCCATCAAAACAATATATTCACTAACAATGAAGAGTTTATTTATACTTTCATTAAATATGACATAAGATTTTGTGGTATCCACTAGTGTAAATATTTTAAATTGAAGATCAAATTCAATCATTGTATTCATATTGGGTCAAGGACTGTAGTGGTAAAAAATCATCAAAATCGGAGTTAAAATAACCGTTAAATCATGATTTTTCATTTATAACCGTTGAAATTTTTTGTCTCGTTACTTGATCTCTGAATGTTTATTTTTTCCGATTTTTGGCGTATATGATCTCGAAGCATAAACAAACATGTTTGACGGTTGGATCATTGAAACTAGTTTCTTAGAATGCGTATGCCATCAAAACAATATATTCACTAACAATTAAGAGTTTATTTATACTTTCGTTAAATATGACATAAGATTTTGTGGTATCCACTAGTGTAAATATTTTAAATTGAAGATCAAATTCAATCATTGTATTCATATTGGGTCAAGGAGTGTAGCGGTAAAAAATCATCAAAATCGGAGTTAAAATAACCGTTAAATCATGATTTTTCATTTATAACCGTCGAAATTTTTTGTCCCGTTACTTTATCTCTGAATGTTTATTTTTTTCGATTTTTGGTGTAGATGATCTCGAAGTATAAACAAACAAGTTTGACGGTTGGATCGTTGAAACTAGTTTCTTAAAATGCGTATGCCATAAAAAAAAATATTCACTAACAATTAAGAGTTTATTTATACTTTCGTTAAATATAACATAAGATTTTGTGGTATCCACTAGTGTAAATATTTTAAATTGAAGATCAAATTCAGTCATTGTATTCATATAGGGTCAAGAAGTGTAGTGGAAAAAAACGTCGTCTATTGTATGTAAAGATGACGTTTTTTATAAAAACCGTCGTCTATTGTACGTAAAGATGACGCTTTTTATAAAAACCGTCGTCTATTGTACGTAAAGATGACGCTTTTTATAAAAAACCGTCGTCTATTGTATGTAAAGATGACGCTTTTTATAAAAACCGTCGTCTATTATATGTAAAGATGACGCTTTTTATAAAAAAAACCGTCGTATATTATATGTAAAGATGACAAATTTTTTTTAAAAAAAGCGTCGTCTTTTAAAACGCGCTAAAAAATGGCCGCTTAAGTGAATTCGCGCTCGATAAATTTTCAAATTTTCACCCGTCTTTGAAAATCTTATCTCTCATTAACAAGCGTCGTCTTTTAAAACACGCTAAAAAAAGTCTACTTAAGTGAATTCGCGCTTGTCAAATTTTCAGATTTTCCCCCGTCTCTGAAAACCTTATCTCTCCCTCCTTGAAACCCTCATGCACTCTCTAAAACACCCTCATAAAACTCTCTACAAAATCATCAAAAGATCGATATCAATGAAGGAGTTGAGAGATTGAGGTCTTAGCAAATCCATAAGATGTAGAGGGATGTTCTGTATTTGAGAATCAAAGCTGGTTGAAAGGTTGATTTGAAAGTCACCTAATCTCTTAATACCCTTCTATATCTTGCTAGTGAATTCTGGATTAGTCTCTTTGCGTTTTTGGTATGTTCTTTGTATCCCTAATTTCAGATTTTGTCTTTCTTGATTTGTCTGATTTGTTTACATTTTTTTTTATTTCTGGTTTCTTTTTAGATTTTCTGATTTGGTTATCAGGAGATGAGGAGGAAGCTTGCAGATTTATAACTCTTTCTTTTGCAGGTTTTCTATGTGAGACGTATGTTTTTTTGTTGTTGAAAATTTGCAGGTTCTCGATGGTCTTTTTTATGCTCATTTTACAAGTTTTCTATGGAAATATGGACCAATGGTAAAATTTCTCTTCCACCTAATTTTTTATGTTTATAATCTTAGCTTCTTTTTTTTTCTCTCTTTGTCATTTTGATTTATTTACAGGGATGATGGAGGAGACTTCAGTTGTGCATCATTTGTATGTTTGGATGAGGAATGCTTGGATTAGGAGTACGTAGGTCTTGTTAGGAATTATGTTTGTTGTAGAATAAAGATTGGTTAACTATGTAATAACTATTGAATCTTCAAGTTTTATGAAAGAAACTATTTTTGATAAAGCATTATGGTTGGTTTTCTAGTTAAAATCGTTGTATAGCATCATAGGAAATCAAAAAGCATTATTGTACGTAAAGATAACGCTTTTTTATAAAAACCGTCGTCTATTGTATGTAAAGAGGACGTTTTTATAAAAAACCGTCGTCTATTGTATGTAAAGATGACGCTTTTTATAAAACCGTCGTCTATTATACGTAAAGATGACGCTTTTTATAAAAAAACCGTCGTCTATTATACGTAAAGATGACAATTTTTATAAAAAAAAACGTCGTCTATTGTACGTAAAGATGACGCTTTTTATAAAAACCGTCGTCTATTATGTGTAAAGATGACGATTTTTTTTAAAACCGTCGTCTATTATATGTAAAGATGACGATTTTATAAAACCGTCGTCTATTATATGTAAAGATGAAGCTTTTTATAAAAAACCGAAAAAACCGTCGTCTATTGTATGTAAAGATGACGCTTTTTATAAAAAAACCGAAAAAACCGTCGTCTATTGTATGTAAAGATGACGCTTTTTATAAAAACTGAAAAAACCGTTGTCTATTATATGTAAAGATGACGCTTTTTATAAAAAAACTGTCGTCTATTATATGTAAAGATGACGCTTTTTATAAAAACCGTTGTCTATTATATATAAAGATGACAATTTTTTTTTAAAAGGGTCGTCTATTATATATAAAGATGACGCTTTTTATAAAAAAAACGTCGTCTATTGTACGTAAAGATGACGCTTTTTATAAAAAACCGTCGTCTATTGTACGTAAAGATGACGCTTTTTATAAAAAACCTTCGTCGATTGTATGTAAAGATGACGCTTTTTATAAAAACCGTCGTCTATTGTATGTAAAGATGATGCTTTTTATAAAAAAAGGTCGTCTATTGTATGTAAAGATGACGTCTTTATAAACAATCCACGACGGTTTTCATAAAAAAATCGTCATCTTTACATACAATATACGACGGTTTTATTAAAAACAATCGTCTTTCCTCCTATAATTAACGATCTTTACCTCTAAACAACGACGATTTTCTTTGAAAACCGTCATCTTTACTGATAAACAACGACGGTGAAAAGCCGTCGTAGTTTGAAACCCAAATAGACGGCAGTCGATTTCACGACCGGGCGAAAACCTTTTACACGACGGTGGTTTCCCGTCGTCTATTTCGATTTTTGTAGTAGTGTAATGAGTATGGGTTCTTGTAGTTATATCTCTAATAATATAATGATAAGAACATTTTTACACGGATAGACCAAGTTCCACTTTTGCCCTCCTCCTCTTCTTACTATGAATCAAGAAAAGAAAAAAAAATCAACTAACAAGGGGTGGTAAAATTTTTATTTTGTGTAACGAGTAAGACCATGTCACGCCCCGAACCCAAGGGTCGGTGGAAACCCCACACCCAGCGTGTGAGAAAATAAAAAGTAAAGTAAAATAAAAAGAAGCCGAAACATGGTTTAAAATAAACTTCTCTTATAAAAATAGGTCCAAAAATCTTACAACTTTACAGGAAATAAATAAAACTCTACTACTCTCATCTAATTCAGCTTCAATCGATTTAGTCCTTGTCTTGCCCACTAATTCATCTAAAAAGTTAAGCAGAGTGAGGGGTGAGCAACCATAGCTCAGTAGGGACATGAGACCTTACCACAGTAGATTGATATAACTAAATTAAGTGACATGCAATCACACAACCAAGTATCACATTAATAATAATAATAATGCATGAATGCTCTTCAATTCTACCCAACCCATTTATTTATATAATAGGGCAAGCAAATCTGCATGTCCCATACCATGCATTTTACCACTATGATTCCGAATACCCCATTACATAAACTAACACCCATCTAGGTTATCCCATAATTCCCCTTTTGCTAGTCGTCTTGTCTAAATCATTGATCTCCAAGCCTAAATCACCCAATCGACAATTATACCGCCGATTTCCTAGTCTACTATGCACACAGGCTCGCCTGGACTTGGTCCCTATAATGGTCAGACTCAACTACACAAAAGACTATTTCTATTACCCTCTTTTCCATTATTATCTTCTCCACCCATCAACTCCAACCAATTACCGATAACATATGATCATGTCAATATTAATTAAATAATATAATGATAATTAACAACATGTAAACAACCAATATCAATACTAATCAAATAATAATATCATGCATAATATAGTGCTCACGAAATTTAATTAGATCAATCCCCGTAAAGGCCCCCAAGAAATCCCTACCTCGTTTCTAAAGTCAACTCCAAGTTAAGAAAACACACAAGCTACGACCTCTAACTCCTCCTGAGAATTTGATCACCACTTGTTTTCTCTTGTTTTCTTTCTTCTTCTTCTTCTCTCTCTCTCTCTCTCTCTCTCTCTCTCTCTCTCTCTCTCTCTCTCTCTCCTCTTTGCATGCACTATACCATGCAATGTCCTGTGTTTTCAAAATCAAAGGAAATGACCCCTATTTATAGTAAATACTAAGGCATCAACCAAATGGTTTCCTATTGGTTGGGGTTGCAGAGCTTATAAATTTGGATAACTACTCATTGCAATTGGCGGCAAGACAAAGGATAATGATTCAAATACTTACTAGCCAAGTAAAATTTTAAATAACTCTTAAATCTATTAACCAAGCATTTGTTGCCATCTACAAGGAGAAATAGCATCAGGTGTCTTCATGCTATGCCACAGATTGACAACAAACCAAGTCTAAAGTACCTAGCTAGTAAGTGGACATATCTCAAGCTAACTCTTTTGGCTTTGTCAATATATATAAGTTATAAACTAAATATGTAACAAAATATTTAATTTCCCAAAATATAATATATATATATATATAATATATATATATATATATATATATTAAAAATACAGAGTTTCACAGACCAAGAAAGTACCATGCGTATACAACAATCTGCTATAGTGGATCTAGGTTCCAGATGGTTTAACGACTTAATAACTTGCGTTAATCTTACAATAAGGAAGTTAAGATTTGGTAATGCTTTTAGGAATGCTAAAAGCGCTTCTGACATTGTTTGTGAGAGAAATCAGAAGAACGAGATAAAGCAAAACATTTTTTAGTAGTGCTTTCTGGAGATGTACATAGATAGTAGATGTTTGCTAGGAAGCATTACCAAGTATGTACTTTTCATGGAAAATTTTCAAAAACACTTGAATATTAAAAAAAAAATTCAGTTCTTCTAATAAAAGCGCTTATGAACAGACACTCTCAAACAAGTCTATAACAAGATCAAGATCAAGACATGCAATTTCAAGTTATACACAGACGCAAATGTATAGAATTTAAACTAAGTCAAATCTATAAATAATGGTATTTAGGGGTTACCCCAACTGGAAGGAAAGGGATGGGATCGCAAAAACAAGGGTGCTAATTACTTCATTCTTCATTGATGCTCTCCAGACTTGGCTGCCAATTATCTGGAGAGGGAAATCTCTTAGGTGGTCTTCTTACCAAATTTCTTGTAGAATCCTTGCTCCTCCTTCTGGCAAGTGCCTTGGTCTCAATCTCAGAAGATGAAATACTGGTGCTTGGTGATTTTGTTTCCTCTTTCAAATCATCGCCATGTTCCTTAACCTTGGTCCCCATAAGAAAGCAATCAAAGCAATTATCTTGAGACAAGCACCCCTCCTCTTTCTTCTTTCCTTTTGTAGTGGTTGATCCTGCATGATTAGAAGCCATGTTCACATTGTTTTCCTCATCGTTAGAATGTCTTGTACAAGCATATGGAGACTTGGTAGAATCCTTATTCATGATAAACCAATTACAATAATTAGAAACCATGACATCACTTTTCTGATCTTCTTTGCTTGGTGTGATGTTACTTTGCATTTCATGAACTGAAGTAGGTGAATGCTTTAAAGAGAGCCTTTGAAGCTTCCGTATCGTGCTTATCGGCACCACGTAGTATTTCTGCCCTAGCCTTAGCATGGTGTCTGGTGCCACAATTGCCCATGGCTGCTGGAAAATGTGAGGATGTGCAACACAACATCTTGGGTTCCTTAGCATGAGCTCTGCTGCAAGAAGAGGGCTGTCATGCAGCTCAACATGCCCGCCGGGGTGAACAATTTTGACAAGCATCTTCTTGGTGCTGTTTGTGCAAAGCCATGCTGACAAGGACATTGTTTTCCCTGTAGTTTTCAAAAAAAGAAAGAAAAAAAATTGTTCAGACTTTGTAGGGTTGGTATTTTTGTTGGGTGAGTTTTAAGTAGTGGCTCTTCTCTTGTGTGAATCGTGGATATCCATGATGAAACAGTTGGTGCTCTAGCTAACATGATTTATCATATTTTATTGTAATTAAAGTATAAAAATTTCCTTGAAAATATCGTGGTACATTTGTTGCATTTAGGTACTAAAATGATTGAATTTGTCTCAATTGTAAATCCAAAGTCAAGCTGGTTTTTATTTGCTGGAAGGTGACTTATGATGCTTGCCATGTTTGGCTTTGATGATGTTGGTCAATCCTATCTCGTTAATTTGGCGGATGTTTCTATATAGTTTGTACTTTATATTATTGGGTAAATTACTCAAATGGTCCTCAAATTTGTACGCGATTTACATTTTGGTACTTCAATTAAATTATTTGTCTAAATGGTACATAAATTCTATTTTAATCGTCCATTTGATCCAACCGTTAAGTTCTGTCAATGTTGCCGTCAAATATGAGGGCAAATTGGTCATTTCATCCACCAACTCTCTCTCTCTTCTTCTTCTGGGTTGCTTCTTCTTTTGCTTCTGGGTTTCTTCTTCTTCTTCCTGGTTTCTTCTTCTTTTTTTTCCCACAATCCAGGTCCTTAGTTGACAAAGCACACTAAAAGGTGCATGAAATTCACAGAAAAATCCACCAAACGAAATTAATAGTTCAGAAAGACAGGGAGGGGGGACATTCAGCTTAGGCAATCTTCGAGGCTGATGGTGTTTACCATTACCATCCAATTCCTTTGCCTCATCCTTTCACATCAGATCAACACAACGAATGGACTTTCTGTTTGATTTTGGACTTCCCCTAAAAACCAACATCCTAAATGGGTTCCCTTCTGAATCCAAAGTCAGTTTGTACTCTATGGAAGACCCAAGAACTAAGGATATCAGTTCAAGAATTGTTTACAAGAAACTAAAATGCAACTACGACATACCCAATTCTTGAAATTCAGCAGAAGATAAAATGCAACATTCAAAAAACATCAAGACCCCAAAACAAAGATAGTCCTGTTTTTTTTTCTTCTTTTTTCCAAATAGAAGTAAAAACTAAAACCCAATAAACAATTTATCAGAAAAGACTAAAAATGACTAAAGCAATTAATTTTTACATTGAAATTCGAGTTCCGGTTTGGTGTTGTCCTGTTTGACAGTAAACCGCGGGCTTGATCAAGATCCATCAAACTCCTATTGGGTATAAACCGATCTCCCTAAATTTGCAGATGCACAAAACCCAAAATTCAAAGAAGAACAAATCAGCAACCAAAAGTCAAAGCAACAGCGAAAGGAGATAATTCAGATCTGATGTGCCTGTTTGCAGTCTGTCTGAGTATATTCCCAATTTTACTTAAGAAAGCCATTGCAATAACCTTGTCCGCTTCTTCTTCTTCTGGGTTTCTTCCTCTTCTGTTCTTCCTCGTTTTCTTCATTTTTTTTCTTCTAATTTTGTATTTATTTTAATCTTATTTTACTTGTTAATTATGAAAAGTCATAGTTACTCTAAAATTTGGTTAAATCTAACAGAAAATTATACGGTTGGATCAAATGGGCGATTAAAATAAAGTTTATGTATCATTTGGACTAATAATTTAATTGATGGACCAAAATGTAAATCGCGTACAAATTTGAGGACTATTTGAGTAATTTACCCTTATATTATTTGTACTTAAATCTCCACATTGCTAAAGACAAAATGTTTGGTTAGCAATTGCTTAGTAGCCACTTATTATTAGCTTTGAATTTATCTTTACAAAGAAAGTGAGTGAGATCTCTACGAAATCTTCTGCATCTTCTGCCTTTCTTTTCTGGGAAAAATAATGCTGATTTGAAGAAAACGTGATTTTAGGAAAAAGCTGTCTCTTATACCATCAGTTTATTTCTTTAGTCTTGCTTTAAACCAAAAAAATTCAAAAGAAAAAAGGCTTCATTTGAGCTCAGAGACAACGCGGCAATGAATCAGCTAAAGGAAAAAGTAAAAGACATTTAGGATTGCTATGAAATGTCTACTTTCAATTTGATTCAATTACAACTGGAGCAACAATAAGCTCTTCTTCTATTTTTCGGAGCGACACTTTCTTGGATCTGAATCCTTTGAGGAAAATATACAAAAATGATGACCAGAACACAAGGAAAGCTATCCAAAGATTCGAGCCATCCTCTTCCAGCAATAAGAAAGGCGACCGTCTTTAGCCTGGATTACGTATACAAGTCCTAGAGAGCACCGTTTATCGGTGGTAGGCTTGGCTCAGGCTGAGGGTACACAGTCTGCAATCCTCAGCGACCCTCCAAGCTCGATAGGGACGAGAGGGATTAGCGAGTGCAGAACATCTGTTATCAATGGCCTGTAACTCGGTTCAGGTTGTACACATAGTACTGCCACAGCAGCGACCTGTTCATGCAAAATAATTTCAACTTATCAATTCAAACAAGAACGTACAAGTTCAAAGTATCAATATAATCTAGCTCATTTAGGTACCTGGTACAGATGTTTTAAATCCATAGTATCTTTTATCACACAATCCACAATGTTTGGAAGCCTTGATCTATCAGTGAGCTGGGGCATGGCCTGCATGTCAATAAATCAACAGAAACTTTAAGTTCCAACAACTCATGTAGGGCCGTTGTAGGGACTGAAAATAAATACCCATGTGACTATGGATTGGCTTTCAGCTCCGGCTTTATTTTCCACCGATTTTCTTCCCATCAAGAGCTCCAAAAGGACAACTCCAAAAGCATAGACATCACTTTTATCAGTTAACTGACCTGAAAAAGAAGAAAAATTCTGATATTATCATCAAAATCGCTTAACAATCATCAAGGATCTAGGCAATATTTTAAGACAATTCCCTATTACTACAATTGCAGAACAAGGAGACGACATTTTGATAGATATGATTTAGTATGAACTGAAGAGAAAAAAAATTGGATTGCAAGCCAACAGCTCACATCTCAAGAAATCCCACATCAACCAATTACAACAGAAAACAAAGCAAGTTTCCAACTAAATACCTGCCTTATTGGTATTAATTTTTGTTTTAAGAGTGCCTTGAAATGGAAAGAAGCATAATGCAGAACTGCATTTGGAGCCAGAACACAGAATATTCAACAACCAAGTCCAAAATGATTTAAGAGTTACTGGGACCACATACGTTCGCAGTGGGTCTGATTTATTTATGGTGATGATGTCTGCCTGAAAGATAAGAGTTTAAAATATCTCTGAAGACTAATTTAGGGTCCAAATTAGTTATATCACAGCTTTTCTAAGGCAAATACACTGGCATTAAATAATTTACTTAACAGGAGACGGGATATGAAAACTGCTTTGCTATTTATGAGGAGTTTCACTTGGGGGGCAAAAAAAGGGATCCTGACTCAGTGAAGTACACATAAATCATCACAAGAAAAAAGAGTTTCATTGAAAGAAATTTCAGATATTAACTGCAACTTGTCATATCTGCAGAAACTCGAGACATTTGCGGGGGAGCATTGCAACAGAATGACACTCATAATGGACATCAGCAGCATATTCACACGTCAAATGTTTACACATACCATCCAAAATGTACTCTGGTGCTACATAATCCAAAGTTCCTGACAGCTTTACGTTGTCCTTATCCTTCATCCCAGCAGTTACAGCAAGACCAAAATCTGAAAGCTAAATCAAGGCAAAACTCATTAGACAATGAAACTGTTATTATGGTAATAACAAGGGCTTGGATATGTCTAACCTTAGCACTAAAATTTGAATCCAGAAGAATGTTAGATGATTTTAGGCCTCTATGGACCACAGGGGGATTACAATGCTCATGAAGATATTCCAATCCCCTAAATGATCATTAATGACGGAAGAAGTATCATGTTAATAAATAAGCATATGTATATACCTATACAAAAATAGGTGACAGGACAATTAGTTCATTGGAATTACCTGGAAACATCAACAGCGATTTTCAACCGTAGATGCCAAGTCAAAGCTGACCCATGATTAGGTCCTACAAGATTAATCAAAAATCAGTATAAAATAAATGGTAACTTCAAGGTGGGCATTTGCAAATGCCTTTTGTCATAAATTGAGCCAGAAAATTCATACCACATAACTGAGTTTCTAAGGATCCATTCTGCATCATGTCATAAACAAGAAACCTTGCTTCACTGTGAATGCAGTAACCCAAAAGTCTAATGATGTTTTGATGCTTGATTTTGCTCAACAAGTTCACCTCATTCTGCATAACAAGTATTCATCAAAAAGGGAACCCCATAACAAAAAAAAGTTGTATTCAGGAAACTGAATTCAAAGAAGTTTAAGATGAACTTACCTTAAATTCTCTATCAGAATCCGGACCTTCACTATTTACTTTCTTAACTGCTGCAATAAGTTTGTCATCAAAACTAGCTCTGTAAAGAAGTCCAGAACCATCCTCACTCAAAACATTACTTTCGTTGAAATTGTTTGTTGCATCTTCAAGCGATTGATAATTGAATACTGCAACTGAACCCTTCCTACTCCCCATTCGCAAGGTATTAAATTCAACTGTCATTGGATTGAATTGCATCCCCTTTGCAGCCTCTTTAGATGGATATTAAAAGTAGAATAGGGGGAAAAAGGAAAACAAGAAACCTTATGATTATTCATTATCTTGATAATAGAGTATGAACATAAATCAAATGAAATGTTTGATGAGAAGAGGATACCAATTGGCTTTCCCTTTTTCCCATTGGAATGCTTCAAGGTTTTCTGTCTATAGATCCAAAAACATGAAAGGAACAGCAAGATTCCTCCAAGGAGTGTGGAAGCAACAATGAGTGCTATAAGAATTCTCTTGTTCAAATCTTGATGGTGAACTACTCTAACCTCAGGCAATCCTGTTTTAAGAGGAAAAATATCCAAAATCATAATCAGTAATTACTGTAACCCAGCATATGAACAAGTCCATGTGTGAAGTCCATTAAAGATAATCATATCACTTTTATTAAGCAAAGAAAGAGTAAGGAAGTCAATTTATTTTTTATCTGAAAATCCAGATAGGATGTTATCTAACTCTGGTGAACCTAAACATCTATAGAAAAATGGAGGGGAGAAGAGAACTGAATTTCTTATCTGTGTTTCCTATGCTTTTCCAAATCTCTTAAATTCAAAAAACAAAGTCACCATTGCGAAGAACCTTTTGCTTTTCCCGATTTCAGAAAATTTATAATGTAAAGGTTCACAATTTGAATTTCTTTCCTTCCCACATTCTCTACGCAATCAAAAGAGGGCGCAAATTAAGTATCTTTTTAACCAAAAAGTAGGAGAAGCATTCTCCAAAAGTAAAAGTGGATCACTGGTAGACCCAAAAGCTTTCTTATGGCTTTAACTTTCAAATAAACAATGATTGGAGATTGAATTTTTCAGCTCATTATTTTCCCCTGCATTTTCTCAGCAACCAAGCAAGGCATTCAAAGAAGACAACAGGGCAGGAAAGGTAGAATTAAATACTTCGAAGGATGAACAAATCTAAACTGACAATTTGCTTATTCTAGTTTGGAATTTCAGTGATCTAGTTCAGAATTTTAAAATCATACAAACCCACTAACCCATCTAGTAAACAGAAATTAAAATTAAAATAATGTGAAATTAACATAAAACAGAAAACAAAGAAAAACTCTGGATTGTTGAAATACCTGGAGATTGAGCTTCCATTTTTGCAGAAAACTGAGTGATGGGTTCTTCCTCAAAAAGGATAATGTGACCAGAAATGGTGGAACTTGTTGGCTCTGCTCTGGCTTCAATTATGGTTACCAACAAACTGGTGGTTGACACCCACATGGGTATTAACAGAAGAGCAAGATTCATGTCCACTTTTTACAGAGAAAGTGAAAAGACTCTCGTGTGTGTGTGTGTGTGTGTTTGTATGAGTGTGGGAATAAGGTGTTGTGGTATTTGGACTTTGAGAAACGTCTCTATGTTCTTATGTTTAGTTTGAAACTTTGAATCTAAATCTTTTTACATATATGTTTCTATTTGTGTGGAGAAGGGGACAAAGGGCTGTTGCAGGGAAACCAAGAAAACACTTTTGAATGTGATCTGTGTGTATCTAAAGCCAAAATGGGGCATGAAATCATGCGGCAGTTATCAAACAATCAAAAGGGTGAAACTTGAAAAAAGTTATGGTGTTTTGAGTTTGGATGTTGATGGTGGGAAGGAGGGGAGAAGGTTTCCACGTGACTCGTAAGTCTCCAGCCATGACCATCTTCAATTATGGCCATTATCCTCTAGCCAAAATATCTCTTGCGAAAATATAAAAGTTAAATATTAATGGCCCTTATCCAGTAAAAAGAAAAAACATCTTTTCGTTTTGATTTTGGTGAAAGGTTTTGCTGGTTTTACGACTTTCGTCTCCATAATTTTAATTCTGTCAATTTTATCTCTTTAGTTTTAAATTCCTCATAATTCAACAAGTTACAAAATCTGTTAAATTTCTTCTAAAATTCTCTCCAAAATACCCTTCCACGTCAAGAACACGTACTTACTCCATCAAGAAATTGGACGGAAATTTGGACGTGTCCTTAAAGTACGAGGGAAACTACATTGATCAAATTCCCAAAATTGAAACTAAAGAGATCAAAGTAAAAAACATGACAACCTAACCATACCAAAAATGACTTTTTGCCCTCATTTTTATTTCTCACTAGTGATTTGTTTTCGCTGCTAAAATGAAAAATCTGTTGGATGAAAGATGAGATCACAATTTATTTTCTATAAGAGTTATTCATACTTCCATACAATGATTAGTGATGGGTTTATGGAATGTAACAATTTTATTTATTATTTTGTTACTAAAGATTTAGTTTTCTTTTTTTCTTTTTCTTTTTTGTTTATGATGAAATAGAGGGAGTCAAAGTTTTGATGTGAGTATGAGGGTAATTTTTTTTTAGAAGAGGAGACTTCATTAGATAATCAAATCGTTACAAGATGCAATAATATGTTGTAGGTGCCCTCATTAAAATCTCTTTGACGAAAATTCAAAGGGATAAAACCCTAAAGGAGGAAAGAGTAGCACATATGTCATAGACTACAAAAGAGTCAAGGAGAGTCAAACATCAACAAAACTATCCCCGTTTGGTTCACCGAATGGATTTGATGGGATATCACTTCCCGTGTCATTTCCCACGTTTGGTAATACTGGGAAAGTAACCGGGAGATATCACTTTATTTCCTTTTACTTTTTTGTTTTGAATAGGAATGGAATACATAGTTTGTATAATTTTCCAATTATACCCATATTAAATCAAATAAAAAAAGAATGCATTTAATGATATATTGTAATTCTAAATTGTTAATGGGGACAAAATGGTCATGAAAAATGTGCATTTAATGTTAGCTAATTTTCTCAAACTTTCCCATGAGGACGGAAAACAAAACCCAAGTTGGGAGGAAGGCTTCACTTTCCCCCTATTTTCTTATGTGCTAAGCAACCATTTCCCATGCATGGATTTACCAAACATGAAAAAGCAATTGATTTCTCATCCCCAAGCCTCCTTTCCCATTAACCAAATAGGACAGTCCTCACAAAGATAATCCCTCAACCAAGGAGGTGGGTCAACAAAACAGGTCATCTTGACTAAGACTGAATCGCGCAAGACGATCTGCAACCCCATTAGCAATACAGGGAACAAAACAAACAGAGCAGGACGGCTAGATCATTGTTGCTATAATAGATTTATAAACACCACAAAAAGAATGAGTTTCCATCAATCAAAAAAGATGATACAAGAATGAACAAATCGAGATTCAACTTCATGCTTTATCTTTTTTCATCATTTTTTTTATCTCTATACTGTAAAATATACATTTGATTTAAAACCATAAAACCTAAAAATGAAATGCCTAAAACTATCATGAGTTTGAAATTAATAAATACATTCAAACAACACAAACTCATAATATATCTCAAAATTAAGAATCTATATGATAAATCTTAGGTATTGGTTTTGTGGTATTCATTTTCCTTTGTTGGGGGAGATCTCAAATCCAATCATTCATCTCTTTGAAAATAAAAATAATAATAACAATAATATTTAAATATTTATGCTATCATATAAAAATTGAAATCATATCAACTGTCAGAAATAGTTTTTTGTTTTCATTACATATGGGAATTGAATCAAGGATCCCTTCATCACACTCCATGCATGTCGCTTTAAGCTGATGTCTGAAATAGTTTCTAATTATTAGGAAGTGAGAAAGTCATGCTCTCGGTTTGGTCCTTTGGGCCCCCTTTAGCAACCGAAACAAAAAACAGAGCATGTGTGCCATTGCATGACAAACAAGCGCATTTAGGTCACAAGTTGAGTCATTTTCAGTAAGGTTTTTTTAAAACGAAGGAGTAGATAACGACTTTTTTGGAGTTCTGATAACAATTTCTATTTTTCCCCTTTTTCAGTGAAGTTTTTGAAGAAATTCATTGGCAACCTCTCTCATCTAACCAATTCAGTAAACTAGTGGCTAGAAATTTATAGGACTAATTGTATACGAGTTACATTTTGGTCATTTAATTTAGATCTTTAGTTCTTCAAATCGATGTGGCACGATTAACCCTACTGTCAGATTTCTCAAGTTTGGCATCTATTTTTGGAGTGAAACAATGTTTTCATGTTCTTTCTAGTAGGCAAAGTAGTCTTTACGTGTATTTAATGGGTGGTTTTTTTATATGCTCCATTATAAGAGTCTGATTCGAAAGGAGGAAGCGGGGGCTAAGGGGTCGAGTCGGAATCCGGAGGTGGGGAGTTCTTGGTGGCGGAGGAGAGTGAGTTGATGTGATCTTGAGGTTCTCTTTGATGGAAGAGCACTGCACCACTCATCATTCCAATACCGGCACAATGTTATACAAATTTTTCTTTTAATGAAATTGTTGAATTCAGCCACAAAAACTGATATATATCTTAATATTGACTTTTCTGCTATAGTTATTGAGTACAATTATTTGTCTCGCTACAAACTGTCATTTGTCAAATATTAGTTAGCTTATTAAATTTGCTTCTTCTTGTCTCCCTTTTTTCGGTGAGAATAAGATAAGACTTCAAAAGATTAATAAGAGGATACATCACTTTGTATTGCAGAGAGGAGTCAGTCTGGCCCTCTTCTAATCATGACAAATATAAAATTTTAGAAATGTCACTTAAAATTATACACGAGTTTCAGTCCTCATACATTGTGCACAAAATTCACGTCCAAAGGATAGTCATACATTGTGCACATGCCTCAAAATCTAGGGCCCTCGCATATAAAACTAGTCCAAATAATGTTTGGTAACCTCAGTGGGATAAAGAAATGTCAGTCTGCTTACTCCTCAAGTGGACCAAGGCCTCCTCTCACTTCACACACATCACTAACACTCATATGATGCCAAACACACCACAAATTAGGAGGAAAAGGAAAAGGAGTGATGAGTCTCCCAAAGTCTTTTTACTTTAGAAGCAAGTAAACTAATCAGTTAGATAATTTTTGCTATAATAATGTTACTAATGGTTTTTTGGCCATATTAATAATGCTAATATGGATGCATTTCTTTTTAATGCATCAAAGAAAACCTAAATTCAAGAACAAGCCCTTGAAACCTAAGTTCGATCGCTCTCCAATGACACCAAACAACATTTAAAGACAATAATGGGCCCTGGCCTTTTTCAATGCGCAACTCCTTCCTTAGAGTCCATTTTCTTAAATGGACTAGATGGGCAAAAAAAGAAGCTTGTAAATCAGAGAAATTCTCCCAAGCCCAAGCCTTAGTCTATTTGCCAATATGGTAAAGACATTTTGGTTTTCTCTCCTGTAAAATCTGTATATTCTTTGGCAAGCGCAGTGAAGTGAAACTGGTAAAATTAAGGAAAGCATGTATGTATTGAATAACATGCACATAGGAAAGCAGGACTCAACTATATTTTCCATCTCATTTATTGGTTTTGTTAATTATTTTTGTCAACCTTGGCACTTCAAACTAGGCAACCCGCCCATTCTGCCCACATTTTAAGTTCCAACCCTCCTCAGTCTCAGCTGAGAGAGAGATAGAGAGAGAGAGAGAGTTCATCCATATTGTTGAAACTAGTATCCATAGCTGTGAGCCTGTGGCCTTATCTGATGCATAGTAATTGCAGCACATTAATGCACATTGTGCTGTGGATTTAAGCATCTTACAGATATGGCAGTTGACTTCGCACACTTCACCTCATAAGGAACCAATTAAAGACATGATTGACAAAAAATTTATGCGGCTAATATCAAAATTAAATACAAAATTAGTGAGGAAAGGAAAGACTTCTTTTTGTTCACTGCATATATTAGAACAATCCTCAAGTGTAGAGAGACATGAACTAGAAAATGAAAGCAAACACAGCAATCATTGTGACTACTTTAGCTCTGCTACTGATCACTCAAACAATCACAGAAGCTCAGCACAATCCCACACACAAAGAAGTAGAAGAAGAAAAGAGATCAAGAAGCACTAGAAGCAGCACAAGAAGCAGAAGCAGAAGTAGAAGTAGAAGTAGAAGAGGCAGCAGCAATCGAGGAAGAACAAGATCAAACTGTGATCCATTGTTTCAATACCTGTTTGGAACCTGTGGCCAATGGCCCTTCCCTATAAACCCTTCCCCAAGCAACCCTTTTGACCCAACACCTCGACCCTCTCCTCGACCCCCACGTATCCCGCCTTCTCCTCCTACACTCCCCTTCCCTCCTTCACTTCCATCTCCACCATCTCCACCCCCAGTAGTACCATCTCCACCCCCATTAGTGCTCTCCCCACCCCCATTAGTACTATCTCCACCACCACCAGCACCCCCACCTTTAGCTGCTGCTCCACCACCATCATCACCGCCGCCTTCACCCTCGCCACCACCTCCTTTGCCATCGCCGCCACCGCCTTCTCCACCTCCTCCACCACCATTAGTTCCATCACCACCTCCACCATCTCCTAGTCCACCACCACCACCAGAATTCCTCCCCCCACCCATCCCAATTGTATATCCACCACCAGAAATGATACAACCACCCACCCTTCCATGGCTAACACCTCCCCCATTAGTACCTACACCAGAGCAACCAGCCTTTGATCTTCCTCCACCTACACCAGACTTACCACCACCTGATGAAGACTCTTCTCCATCACCCCCACTTGTCCCAATATTTACATCACCGCCACTGCCTTTTGAGCCTCCTCCATTTCCATTTGCACCACCAATTATATCATCCCCAACTGCACCAGACCCTGGTGTGATTGATCAGCCACCATCTTTGCCCATTCCTCAGTCGCCAGAAATCTTTCTTCCACCTCCAATTCCTGAAGTGCCCCAAAATCCACAGGGGCCATTTCCATTTGTACCACCAATTATATCAACCCCAACTGCACCAGACCTTGGTGTGATTGATCAGCCACCATCTTTGCCCATTCCTCAGTCACCAGAAATCTTTCTGCCACCTCCAATTCCTGAAGTGCCCCAAAATCCACAGGAGCCATTTCCATTTGGGTCCACCCCACCAGCTCCAGATATGGATTTCAATGAGCCATTGTCACCCCCAGAAATCCCTTTTCTGCCTCCTGTTGATCAGCTTCCACCGGCGTTTGATTCACCTCCCTCTCATAGTTAAGAACTAATTAATTAAATTGTTTTCTTTGGTTCTTATGCTTCTTCAGTCTAGATGAGAATAATTGCTACGTACCAAAATGTGAATTGTGTTTTGTTTTGTAATGTATCAATGTTTTGGAGAATTTGGATGCCAAAGATTCTATCACATTCTTAGCATATAACTGATTTACTGACGAAATGATGTCGTTAGAGCAAAACAGAGTAAAAATGTTTGCATTCTATTGAAACACTTGATCATGAAACCTATAACATATCCTAACTAATATCTAATACCTAAATTAACTGATAATTAATGAGTTCATTTTCACTCACCTCCTTTTAACCCTGATGTTGTAGCTCACCCCTTTCTTAAATTCTGCCATAAATACAAATACAAACACTTAACTCATAGTTAGCTTTTATAACTCGTGGCGAAATTTCAATAGAAAACTCATAATATGGGTTTGGCCATCAGTTGGTTAGCCTTTCAATTCCTTTTTTCAAAAATATATACATCATCATACTAAAGAGGTAGTTGATAGTAGCTTCACTTATTTGAACTTCAAAATTCAAATCCAAATTAAAAACCAAGAGCTTCATTTGTCTATTTCAATTAAAAACATAACCGAACTAAACCGTACCAAATCCGACCCTAATATATATATATATATATGGGAGTTCCATGGTAGTTGAGCCCTAAATAGAGGAGAAAAACTTAATTGCAACGTGGATAACAATGTTGCTATCCCGACCAATAATACTATGTCGTATGAAAGTGTTGTTACACGTGTCACAACGTTATTAGTGGGAAATAGCAAAATGAAAGTGTTGTCACGTGTGTCACAACTAGGAACGAATTGACATTGTGGGCTGTATGGGCTGTAGCCCATACAAATTTTTATTTATTTATTCCTACATATGATTGTAGTCATCACAGAAAAATAAAATAAAAAATAATGCTTAGAATGCAACTTTTGTAAATAACATGTGTCCAACCTGGCATTTTCCAATAGAGGATTAGAGCCCGTTTGGTAACGTTTTCATATAATGTTTTTTGAGAATATTTTCATAAAATGAAAACAAGAAAATGAATTTGCATTTTTAGGATTTTAAAATGCTTCTGGTAGATTAATTAGAAAACAAATTCAGAAAATAAAAACAATAAAAACGTGTTTGGTAGTACAATTTGAGAATAATAATATGTGAGTTATTTTTCAAGTGTATTTTTGCTAATTTATGTTCTAAAAAATATTTTAAAAAATTTATAATTTGACAAATAAAAAATTATATTGTTTTTTAAAAGTTAAAATTATTTTTATCTATTATATTTTTCATTTTTTCTATTTTTTTCTTATTTTTTCTTCTTTTTCCCTTTTCTTTCTTCCTCCTCTCATTTCTCTTTTCTTCTCCCTTCCTAGGCCGTTTCTTTCTTTCTTTCTTCCTCTACTTTCTCTTTTCTTCTCCCTTCCCTCTTTTTCAATATCTCTTCATTCCTTCCTTCCTTCCTTCCTTCCTTTCATGGCATGAATCCCATCAACCCACCTCTCTCTCTCTCTCTCTTGATTGGGTGGTGATGGCGATGATGATCCTTTGATTGGGTATGAGTGGTGGAGGTGTTGGGGTCAATTGCTTTTTTACTAGGTGGCGATGATGTGTATTGGGTTCGATTGGGTGTGTTGGTGTCGGCTGGGTTTGATAAGTGGTGGTGATGTGGGGACTGGGTCTGTGAGGTTTGGTGGCAGTGGCAGGGTCAGTGGCGATGACGGTGACGATGGTCTGACAGTCATGGTTGTGGTGGGTTTGATTTTCATTTCTGTTTTGCTGGGTAAAGTGATGGGGAGAGAAGATTGAGCAGCAGTGTGTTTAGGCGTTTGTTTCCTGTGAGAATGAAAACATCCATTTTCTGTTTTCCAGAAGTACACGTGAATCATTTTATTAAAACATTCTCAATGTTTTCTATTTTTAGCCTACCGAACAGGTTCTTAATTTGTTTTTGTTCTCTGAAAAGGAAAACGGGCCCTTAAAACTTAACCGAACGGGTCCTTAGAGACTCAACTAACAAACTACAGTGACTTTTGTTTAATTTTTTAACACTCCCATATTTATTGCTTTTATATAATGTTTTTATACTCTTTCATTAATTAATATACATTAAAATCTTATAAGTTACAATCTTTGTCAATACTCACTTAAATCACTTAAACACACTATGCAATAGATTTCTTTCAATTCTTTTGTGCTAAACTAATATGTAACCTTTTTTAAAGTTTCATTAACAATTTCTATAGGTTAATAGGATATTTAGTCATATACTCATTCTTAACACTAATAATGTAGATAAACTTTACACAATTTAATTTCTATAAATAAACCCAAAAAATGACAGCTAATTCTAATAAATTTAATTTTGATTATTAAATTATTTTGATACCCTTTTGAGTTTTTGGGTTTTTTTTATAAGGTTTTGGAGTTGAGTTTGTTTTAAAAAATCGATGGCAGTTTTGTAATTTATAAAAAGTTGAAAGCCTCTTTGTTATATTGTAAATGGGTTTTGAGTGTGTTTCTAAAGTTCATTTTATATATGTTTTTTTTTCTTCATAATTTAGACTCCCATATTGGGTATAATAGTGAATCTCCCTGAATTTAACCCATGTTCAAATCCTGAGTTAATCCGTCCATGGTCACAACGTTATTAGTGGGGATAACAAAATTGGTACCTTGCTTTCTTGTTGCTATCCCGTCTCCTGAAAGTCTCTCTCGAGGTTCCGCATCCTTCTCTCATCTCAGTTCTTGCAAACCTCGAAGAAGTAAAACAATGGCAGAAAAAGCTGTTGATTTGCCGGAAGAATGCTGGGAACTGATAATTAAACTGCTAGACCATCCCTCTCACTTCAATTCACTCTCTCAGGTCTGCAAGCAATTCCTGTCAATCACCAATAGACTTTTATTGAGTCTCAAACTTTCTGATCCAACAGTTCAAGCCCTTCTGCCTCGTCTTCTTCAAAGGTTCCGTCGGATCAAACAGATAGAACTCACTGGATTTCAAGGTGACATGAACTCAATTCTTCATCAAATTGCGCAATCTGGGTTGAATCTAGAATCGCTGAACGTTTCCAAGCAACCAACTTTACCAGTGGTTGGTTTAAGAGCGTTGGGCTCCAAAATGATGGATTTGAAGAGTTTGAACTGCTCCAAGATGAGGTGCTTTGGGGATTCTGACCTGAATGTGATTGCAGAGTCATTTCCATGCCTTGAAGAGCTTGACATCAGCTATCATGCGGATGATTCCACAATTGGGTCGAAGCCCATATCCGATTTGGGCATCTTTTCATTGTCATTGAAGCTCAAGAGCCTGAGGAAGATCAACCTTTCTGGTAATAGCTTCATTACTGATAAGTCCCTTGTGTTTTTGTCTACCAACTGTTTGTTGTTAAGCCAAGTTGTGCTTCACTTTTGTAACTTTATATCACTGAATGGTATATCCAAGCTCATCCATGGCTGTTCTCACTTGAATTCTATTTCGGTTCATGGAATTGAGAATCCTTCTGTTAATGCAGCATTCAAAGTACCATTCCTAAGCTCGAAAGCTTTATGGGCTATTGCTCTTTCGGATTCCGATATTTCAGATGAATTTCTGTATGCAGTTGCTGAAGCACGTTTTCCTCTGAAGAAGCTCACTCTTTCTAGATGCGCAAACTACAGTTTTTCTGGAATTTCAGTTTTGTTGAATGAGTACCAATCTCTTGAGTACTTAAATCTTGAAGCAGCATATTTTCTTAGGGACGAGGACATAGCTGAGCTATCCAGGTTCCTCCATAGTATCTATCATATAAACCTTAGTCATTGCTATGGGTTGACCTGTATCACCTTCTACACGCTCATAAAAAACTGTATGATTTTGGATGAGTTGGAAATGGTAGCAACAAGTATTGGGGAGGAAAACATTGAGACTGACTTTAAGGCAAGCCATGGAATCAAAGCTTTAAACTTGGCAAATAGTTCATTGGGCAATAACTTTATAACAAGTTTTGCATCTATTTGCCCCAAATTGGAACTGCTCAATTTGAGCAAATGTAAGGGAATTACAGAAGAAGGCATAGTAGAAGTATTGAAGAGATGCTCTGAGATTAGACAATTGGAGGTAAACCACATTCAAGGGATGAGGAATTCTTTTTTACACCTTGAGTTTGAACTTCCCAAGTTGAAGGTGTTGTCTCTAATGTTTTCTGGAATCGATGATGATGCGTTGGCTATGATTGGTAAAAGATGTTGCAGGCTACTGAAATTGGACTTGGCAGGCTGCTTGAGTTTGACATCAAAGGGGGTGAAGGAAGTGGTGGAAAACTGCAAAGAATTGAAGGAGATAAATTTGAAGTGGTGTAATAAGTTCAGTGCTGATATTGTTCCTTGGATGGTGTTTTCAAGACCATCACTGAAGAAAATAGTTCTTCCTAGTCGTTTAGTTCTTACTGAAAGACAAAGGAACCTTTTCTTGCGTCATGGGTGTGTGGTGTATGACGGGGGTGCCTTTGAATGAACTTCACAGGTGATGAAGTATTCTCTTGCACAAAGTCGTTTTTGAATAAAAATATGTGAAGATTGCATTTGGATGTTTGTCTTTCTTATATTGTTAAACTCAATTTATTATGTAGCAACTCTGTTCACAGCCAGTAGCAATTGTAGAGGATGCTTTCTGATGTTGGTGTTAATTGTATCTTGAATCTTACATAACGACACATTGTCATTAAGACCTATATTCATAACTTATAGTTGGAATGGGTATTGGAATTATTCCAATTTCTGACTTCTTGGCATTTATTAACACGTAAGGAATCCAAAGTTAGAAATTGTGTTCAATTGCAAGGAATGGCTGCAATGAAATTGCGTTCAATTGCAAGAAATGGCACAACTGCAAGTAGATTTAGACAAACTAGTTATGGTTTCAATAAAGATAAATACTAAAAAGGCACAGTAGGGAAAGTGAACTCAAGAGTATCTGTGTCCATGCTAGCTCAACCATTGATTCTAATCCAATCCGGTCAATTATGCCTAGAATGGAGCTTATATTCGGTGTGCTCTGTGAGTGGCAGCAAAGGGAGGTCTGGAAGTCATCTTTTCTTGGCAATGAACTCCATCAAAGGGGGTTTTGTGGAATCCCTATCTTAACTGAAACATAAAATTACAACGAAGCTGAAGAAAATGAGAAAAGAAACAAGAGAACAAAGAAAAAAATTACAATTCCGAATTCTTCCCAAAAAGTTGGATTAAACCATTGAGAAGACCAGAAACAAGAATTCCATTTGGGTTTTAATGAAAAAACAAAAGGAAATGAACTGTAAGGATGAATTTACAACTGATAAGTCTTTACTAACGCAACCCATTGGAACCAAATACAGCAATGCTTGTATTAGTCGGATGCTGTATAACTAGAAAAGTTTACCAAACGTGTCTTAGTAGAAGAACAGATAAGCAACATACTAATTCAAAACAAGTGAAAAAGAAAAACGAAATGAAACTAGTATGGGCCTTCAATTTCACTTTTCTTCCCTACAAAATTGAAAAAAGTTATAGCTGACCAGATACAAATCAAAATGCTGAAGAAACAGACAAATAATGTCGACTGGTCTAAGTTTTGTTATCTGCCTTGTACCGGAGACCAAGTTTAGAGAGAATCTCTGGCTTGTCCCGGAGACCAAGTTTAGAGAGAACAAAGCAGTAAGAATCCCAGTCAGTTTTTCGAAGATACTTCAATAACCTCTTCCTTCTTTGCAACATCGCTTGAAGACCCTTACGGGAATGCTTATCCTACAAAAAATAAATAAACCGTTATGTAGAGTAATAGAAACTTGTGACTAAATTAAAATGTTAAATAGACCCATGTAATGCACATAGGCTTAACAAGTCAACATCAGCATATTGCTTTTTTTCCTTTTCGGTAACAAGGAAAACTCCATGGCCTTGACGAGTACAAGGCCTTAAGTAAATTTGGGTGCAATCACTCACAAACCACATGTATCAAGTAAGCCTGAGTATTTATGCGTCAGTGTGGTTCAAAGTTTACCACTTGACGTAAATAAAAAGTGTAACAGGAGAAGAAGAACAGCTAAAGAGTGATCGGTGGGTGGCATATGTGTATGCATGTCCTTCTTGCAGAGATATATGGGATCTCACTCTTTGAGGTGTATTATCAATCAACAATGCAATAATGTTCACAAGGACAATCTGGCTTTTGGTAAACATAAAAACTAGAAAATTATGAAGTGCAAATACAAATACACCAGCACCTCAATACTTGTTTGTTTTCAAGGTGAACCTTCACGAGTAACAGCTAGGGTAAGCTACCTTTGTTAATTTTATCTCTAATTACTTGGGACTATTAAGACTTCACAAAGCTATCTCAAAACCCACAAGTGGAGCTGTAACAAGTTAATTGTGTTAAACTACTACCTGGAATAGTAGCATGACCAACAATATTTGAAGTATGAAAACAAAAGCATGAAACAGGAAGAGATTATTGGTTCCATTGTCACCTTTTTGTGTAAAACTGAAGCTAGATGTTTGATCTTGGTTGTGAGCTGTGCCACTGCAGAACAATCAGGAAAACAAACGGTTAATAAACCTTGAAAGCAAGAATCAGAAGGAGACATGCTATGCCCGTGCTAATTTCAGCACATTGAACCCTTTATTTTTCCCCAGAAAGGGGAGTGGGGCAGGAAATTTTTTTTCTCTTTTAACTCGGTTTTTGGATTCTTTGTTTTAACTCAGTTTCCTGCCAAAAATCAAATTCCCTGTTCCACCTTGATCTTTTTTTTTCCCTTTTTTTTAATAAGCAATACAATTTTATTCACACAAAAAATCAAGAAGAACAAGATCAGATATCAAGTTCAAACTTCAATGGAGACCTTAACAACGTCAATTCCTACAGAACTACAGTATAAGGTTGCTCCAAAACACCAGAAGAGCATCAAAATAGATTATAGAGGCCCTTCTGTGAGTGAAAAAGACAATTTGGGTCTGCAGCTTGGAATGCTTAAGGACCCCCAACTGGAACCATATTCTCAAAACATCTACTGTTTCTTTCCCTTCATTTACACAAGGGAGCCTTCCACCAACAATCACTAAACTCTACTAACTCTATATCCCCTTGGCCGCAGGAAATCATTCAAGGAGCCAGATATAACCAACTGAACCTCCTAATAATAGAGGAAAGTAGACCACAACTCTTAAGCCACCTGTAATATAGCAGAAGGTGGTCAACTGATTCCTTGGCATTTTTTAACATACAAAATATTTTAACTAAGATGATCCTCCTCTTCCTGAAATCATCAAAGGTGAGGATTCTACCCTACAACAAAGACCAAACAAAGAAAGAAAGTCACCTTAAGCAGTACTCTAGTTCACCAAATGGTACTCACGAGAACCTTTAACATTGCTGTAGAAACTACAAACTTCAAACACCCTTATTGAACCCACAAACCATCTAAGCACATCTCCAGAAATTTTCAATCTTCACTGCTTAGAAGTCTGGAAAACGCAATCTTTTTCATTTTTTTCAATTCCTCGGTTTTTCTATGGTTAGCTATATTGATAAATAACACCATTAAAAGTTTCCTAGAATATGTTTCTTTATAGTTCTTGATCTGTAATTATCATAATAACTAACTGAAAACAAAGTAAAAAGGGGGTATCACCCACTAAAAGGACTTGGCCGACACAACTATAACAATGTCAATTTATATTATAGGTTTGAACATCCTTTTGCAGAGTATATCCTTTCTCACCCTTGTCTTCTCTTCCAACAGCATGAAAGGTATAACAATGAAGAATATAATATAGAAAAGAAACTTTGAAAAAATAATAAATAACAATTAAACAGCCCTCATAAATGTTATTGATGAAAGTAGATTAAAAGACTGTTTGCAAGGCAACTGAAAGAACCAGATGAAAAGTGGAATTAAATTTCTGCCCAATTAAACGATCAGTAAAATGTGCGTGCCAAATGCAAAGAACACTCGTATAATGGAAAATAAAATCATAAAAATGCATACAAATAAAAAAAATAGTGTAATGAAACCAAAATCATAACCTATACCTTGAACTCGTGCAGAACCACAATCTGACTCTGACATTTTAAATTCTTCTCTAACTTTGGCAAGCTCAATTTTCAGTTTTTCTGCAGAAGACATGTTATCTGGATGGAAATACTGCATCAAATATTTCATTAAACATATTAGGCACCAAACTACTGATCAACATTAAGAAAATTAGTATTACTTCATGCGAGAGTTACAACAACTCAAACATCTATAAGTGCAAAGCAAAATTTATCTGAGAAGAACACATGCTCTCGACAGAGAGGAGGACAACATAGAAAATGTTGGGGTATGGGTAATTTAGCGTCTTAAATCATGAATCTTGTGAAAATTCCCAAATGATGCATAAAGTTAACAGAAAAGATATACTTGCCTTTTCAACCAAGTATTCCTTGGGAGGTTGCAGCATAAAGCTAGGAGTTCGGCCGAACTGGCCCAAGATATCAAGCCTCTGGACTGCAACAATAAAATCAATTAATAAATTGCAGGATACATAGCAAATAAAATCAATCGAGCTCAATCAACGTAAAGTTTTGTTTATAATATACTTGTAAATTAAAAGTACAAACCAACAAACTCAAATTTGATAATTCCCTTTCATACTCTACCTTGTGATGAACCCAGGAGTTTTCTTTGGAAGAAACCAGAATATAATCCCACAAGATAGAACTCGAGCTAATTTATGTTAGATTCCTAGGCCATATTTTCAAAGTTTAATATAAACTGGGAAAAGGAGCGTATATATTCCACTTAGGGAAGATAACTATATCTGTCGCATATCTAACTTTCTACACAAATCAAAATGTTTAGTTGGTAAATTCAAGACAAACATTAAACTTATAACTTCAAGTAAGCTTTTATAATAAAATATATATAGCCTGAATTGTCGTAAAATTCAAGTCTGGAAGTTAATATTTCTCTAGCAGTATAGATATATGGCTCTTATATAGGAAGTAGCACAAGAGTTATTCAGTAAATGAATTTTGCACCTTCTCATAATCTCTATTGGGTAAAAACTATGTTAAAACTTGAGTTTTAACACTGCTTCCTTTTCCGTCTCCACAATTTTTCAGCAAGCAAATATTGAAATCTTCAATCAGCAAATATTCAAAATTGTGCAACAAGAAGAACAAAAATATAATCGCTACTTCTAGGCTTTCTCATAATTGTCGATAAATTAGAAAGGGTTTTAATAACAAATGGAAGGGCTTCTCATAGAAGTTCAAAATGAAAACCTCACTAAAAACCCTCAATGTCAAAGTGCAAAGTCATAAACTCTCCTCTTTCCCTTAATTTCACAAAGAGCAAACACAAATGCAAACATTCTTCTGACCAACAAACATAACTATTTGCTCAACAGACTCACTTTGCATCGTCTCCTTCTTACCTTATCAACTGTTCTAAGAAGGAACTTGTTTACTTTTGGTCTCAATTTTCATCCTATTTCATCGACTACATTTTCTCAGTAAACAACCGAACTGTTTACCTCTACAAACATGCATCATTCATAACATAAGAAATTTAACATAAACTCAAAAAAAACAGCACAAAACTGCTTACTTACTCGAAGTTTTCTTCACCTTCTCGTCATCCGAAATCTTCAATTTCACCAAGCTATCCCTCAAATCCCTAAACGAAACGCCGCTCATAGCCGCCTGAGTCTCCTTCTCTTCCATCTCCCTCAACTTCATCAACCTCTCATTTAACTCCTTCAATGAAAACCAGCTATCCCCCTTGGCCTCCGGCCTCAACATCCTCAACTTCTCCCCCAGCTCTGCATGGTCATACAACTTCACAAAATCTGTCTTCATTGCATTCGAGCCCTCTTCTTCATTTCTCCCCTTTATCTTCTCCTTCCCAAAAATCGACATCGGCAAAGTGTCAGTCCCGCCGATCACATTCGGCTTGAGCTTCAAACTATTGGTAAATGCCGATAAGGACATAGGGTCCACACTCTTCCTATCACTTTGCACATTGGTATTCGACTTTATCTTCTTCAAGCTCTCTCGGATCGCATCGAAAGAGAGCTTCCCACCCTTATCGGCATTGGGGTCCTCAGACTTGCCAAGCACATTTCTCTGATAAAGCTCTTCTAAAGAGATTTGCTGTGTAGAACCTTGAGCTGTTGAAGATTGCTGTGAAGGTGCAGAGTTTGAGTCTGTAGGTTCCGGCACAGCGGATCGCCGCCGAAACTCCGAGAGGTTTTTGCGGATTTCTTCCAAGGAAGCCGCTCCGGAGGTCCTGGACAGAGGATGGTTCGAAAATGAGGGATTTTGAGAAATCGGTCTTCTCTGTTGTTGTGGTTGTTGTTGTTGTTGTTTGAGGCTGGCTTTGACATCGCTGAAATAGGAGGTGAGCGAGGAAGAGTGAGATTGGGGATTTGGGTCTGTTGGGTCTTTTGGGTCTGATGGGTCGGATGGGTCTGAGGAGGAGGTGGTGGAGAAGAGGTGAGTGAGAGGTGGTTTTGTTAGAGTTCGGTGTCTGGCTCTCAGTTGGAGAGTCATGGTTGATGATGGCCTTAGGTTTTGGAATTTTGGGGAAGACGACCGTGGAGAAGAAATGTGGGGGTTTAGAAGATACTTGGGTTTTAGTGACCGGGTTCTTTTGGGGTTGGACCGGGTTTGGCTTCATGGAAGTGTTCTTTAGGTTGATTCGAGTACAAATTTTGGGTTGATTGGAGTACAAATAGATCAATATAGATCAATCGAAACTGCAAATTTTGTTAATGACGATAGAAATATGTATTAACATTTTCTTAAACACGTTAAGGACAAAACTCTATCAACATTTTCTTAAACTTGGCTAAAGTGTTTAACATCCAAAATTTAGCTACTTTTCAAAATTGCCCTTTACTAAGGATTACAATTCTCTTGTCTTGGCATATATGCAAGTTGGCCAAATGAGTGTAACAAAGATACATAATTCAAAATATTATAAATAAATGTGAAACTGTATGAAAACTACACGGAAGAAAAATTTTCTATATATATAGAGCAAAAGGTAAAAATTGGTAAAATATTCAAAATATTATAAATAAATAAAATTTATTTTATTTTAGAATTAAAAAAAGATAATGGGTAGTTGTGTTCCATAAAAATAGGATCTATCATTTTCTTTTTTTTTTTTTTTTTTTTTTAAAAATGTAAAAATTTAATTTATTATCATATTATCTTAATTATTATTAATTTTAATAATATTAATATTTGCATTAACGAATTGTATTTTATGGTATTTTGAATGTTTGCACATACAACAATTCATGAGCTTTCAACAAGGCTTGATGCATATTGTGGGCTTGGTTTTCTTTCTTTTATTATTTTTTTGGTCTGAGGTTTTCTTTCTCATTTAAACAAGGATTACAAAAGAACTTTATTTATTAAAAATTTAAAGAAAATAAAAGGGAATCAACTCTTTTATATAAAGATTGACATCTGGTGCCACCCTATAGAAACAAAATTAATGCGTTTTTTTTTTTTTTTTTTTTCTAAATTGTCTTTTATAATCTATATATATATAAAGCAAAAGGCAGAGAATGGTGAAACACTTAAAATACCAGAAAATACTCTTGGTTAATACAAACATTAAGAATTGAAATTATTAATTAAATGAGGATAATATGGTAAATTCACTTTTTCATATTACAAAAATTAAAATTAAAAGAAAAATCAGATAATGGATCCTATTTTTATGGAACACAACTATCCATTATCTTTTTTAATTTTTTTTATTTAGCCTCTCGTAGCGCGAGAAAGCACATGCAGAGAGGCTAGTCAGTATTTAGTAGCGAACTCGAGGAGGGAGAGGCTACATGACGCACAACTTGAGGTATGATCAATTATGCTTTATTTATTTAATTGATAATTTGATATTGATTTTCATTAGATTAATTGATGGTTTGATATTAATTTCCATATTAATTGATATAATGTATGAACTATAATCAATTAGTCATACAGCTATGGAACGGTACTTTAAGAGAAAACGTCTAAATTCTCCTTAGAATAATTCGGGTAATTTAATTTTTTTTTTTATATAAAACTTTTAACCTTTCAAAATTACACATTCGCAAAAAAATTCATGATCGGCCAATATACATATTGAAACAAAGACAAAATTTAAGCGCCTCTTAAAATTGGGGCCCTCTGCCCTCAGTTTGCACTCCCTCAAAGTTTCCCCTCATCACCAACTGATTTGATACCAAATAGTTACGCTCGAACTACCAAGTTTTTGAGGACTTGCTTCGTGCCATGAACATGTATTCTACCATGATCTGTTGTTAGGTTTCATTAAATTGAATCATATCCACTTGAATGCGAAAAATGCATGATTGCAATCAATTATTACCTACCAGAAATATCTTTTCATAACATGCCAAGTATACGCACCAAATGGTTTTCCCTCTCTTCTGCACTTTTTTGTTTTCTTCTTCTCTTTTTGTCATTTGGAATGGAAAGCACATTAATTTTCAGTCGTGGCATTGTGAGATCGCACCGTGTATTCAAATTTCCATCACCATTGGAAATGTGATCACAACTTTTGTATTCATATTCATCACAATTGCATTATATGCTCATTAATTACATCATAATACTATCTTAGAAAAATTTATGTACACCATTTGGAAGAAAGAATTTTGTTGACATGTGTAACACCAACGGTCAATGTAAACCTAGAGGGGGTGCAACGTAGTGATTGTGAGAACAAATATTTTCGGCAACTAATAGAAAGGTGACATGTGAAAGAGAGAATATTCTTTAGGTCAACTAACTGTTCTAATTAAATTCTATTTAATTAGACAATTATCTTTGATTTAAGATAGGGATATCTCCTGAATCAAGGATGAGGATTTCCACCAAATCTCCTTGATTAATCTTATCACTTATTTTTCAGTAAGAATAATCTCAATTAAATATGTAATTATTCTACAAACCCTAACCAAGTAAGGATACTATATAAAGGCAAGCATAACTCACATGTGACGTAATTCCAAAACCCTAACAAAATTACTCTCTCTCTCTCTCTCTCTCTCTCTCTCTCACACACACACATGCCTATGCGTCACCACACACCCACCTTCCGATAACTTTTTTATTGACTTAGACATTGAAGTACATTTGGCCAACACCCCCGGGTGTGGTCCGTTGACCTTAATTTATTTTGCAAGGAGCGAAGGAGAAGAAGTGCAAAAGGTGGATGAATCTTTTGCAAATATTCTTCTGTAGGATTATTTGCATAAACAGTGATGATGAAAGTGTGAGTGAGATTGAGATGCGGAAGAACACCAAAGTGGATTTGAAGATATATTTCTCTTGATCCGGTAGTGATGACTAACATAATAAAAGGAGTTTACAATGCTTGTAGAAGTAGAGAAATTTGAAGTGAAAGAAGAGGAAGCAGTCCCCACTCCTCCTTCGCATGGGTCCTCTATTTTGTCTAATTTTTGTCATGTTCATTTAAAGTAATTTCGTGTATAGATAATAATAATGTGATAAAAACCAAAAAGCTGACATAGGAATGTAATAAAAGCAAATAATAATGTTTCGAACGACATTATTGATGATTACTCGATGGTATGTCATGAAGATGGCACACCAAAAGATGCACGGTTAGCACCATGACGGCGTTGATTAAGAATCTAAGATGACCAACATACTATGGAGTATGGACTAAGATGATGAGTATCGAGTTTTAGATAACTACTGCCGACGTTAAGTTGATAATAAGTTCAATTATTTTATCGTCCATGTTGAAGTCATGTTGTGATAAAAAGAAACTAGGAAATGAAAGTGGTAAGCAAAATTTAGAGCGTAAGTATAGAAGCTACCATTATTGCGGGAAAGATATTTTTAAAGTCTCGTATATTCCACTAGAACTCTTAAAAAAGTTATATCCACCGTATTTAGAGCCTCCACTCGAAATATTAGACAAGATGCGAAGGAAGATGGCATACTCGAAATATTCAAGTAATTAAAGATGGCAAGGTTGACGCTGCGTTGCCGCATTGCCAAACTCCAAATATTATACAAGTAATCAAAAAATATGGCAAGTCTAGCGCCGTACTGCCCTTCCCAAAACTAAATTATAAAATAAAACCAGCCACGTAAACTAGGGTTCTAGGTTCTTTTTTCCATTTCCTACTACAACTATATACCCAAAAAAAAATAATAATAATAATAGGAAAATGAAACAAAAAAAGGAAAAGAAATGGCCACCATATCCTAAGCGAAACGTGCCGCATCATTAACTGACAACATCACCATCTTCCACATCTGCCCCAATTCTCTCTCTTTCACTCGCTCACTCACTCACCTACCTTGTGAGCGCGTCCAGCTCACATCTCTGAACCAATCTACACCTATAAACCCTGTCTATAAATAAATTAGTGTCATCCATCAAAAACCCGTAACCAAAAAACAAAACAAAACAAAAAAAGAAAAAGGGGAAAAGCCACGCGAGCTTGGTCCAACACTGCCACGTGTTTCCAGTGTGGTGGCCCACAGAAAATGAGAAGAAAAGATCGGAAATAGAAAAAGAAAAAAGAAAAGGGAAAAATCCACACAAAAGAGGAGGAAGGAAGTGGAAGAGTTGTTTGTTGAGAAACACAAGAAAAAGAAGAGAGCAAGCAAGCAACCAACAAAACAAAGCAAATCCACCACACATATAAAGCCTCCCCTCATTATTCTTTCTTTCCTCTCCTTCTCTCTCTCTCTCTCTCTCTCTCTCTCTCTCTCTGTGCACACACACAACAACACAACACTCACCTAAATAAAAGGAGAGATTTTCTCTCGCCACCCTCTTCTTCCCCTCTCTCTCTCTCTCTCTGTGCAAAAACAAGGAAAAAAGATAAAAACGACACTGACGACACTATGGCTGCTGCTGCTACTGACGACGACGGCTGGGTCAACCTGGCCATGAACGACGAGGCGGCGGTCGTCGACGTTCTTCTCCTCCTCAGGCACGCCGAGCCGCCGCGGCCGTCCAAGACCAGCCGTGACCTTCCGTCTCTGCGGTGGAGCGTTAGGCAGCGCCGCTCCAAGAACGTGCCACGTCATCACCATGCCAGCGACCTCGTCGTCGTTGAGGGTAAGGATAAGAAGAAGGGCGAGTCGAGCGCCGCCAGAGCCAGCCCCACCACGCCGCTCTCCTGGAGCGGCGCCACTTCGGTCAGCGGCGGCGCCCTCGACGGCTCCGAAGAGTCCAGCAGGGCCCCCAAGCCGACCGATGCCGCGAGATCTAAGGTCTGTGTGTCTCTGTCTCTGTCATTCATTCGGGTCGGGTCGGGTTTTGATTCGGTGGCTTTTCTTTTTATTTTTTTCAATTTTTTTTACCTATCTATCTTTATTGACGAAAGTACCCCTGGGAAGGTGGGGTATTTACCTGGGGTGGTTCAGGAGTCGGATAGGATAGATTGTCTGGCTTTGGGCACCTGTCAGAGTCTCTTTTTTTTGGCATCCTGGTTGGAGAGAGGGCTTCCAACTGATCCTTTTTTCTATTGACCATTATGCCCCTATGTGCATGGGGATGTCTCGTGACCGCCCGGGCCAATTCGTTCATTTCGTACGCCCGACCGGTTTCTAGACCCGCCGGTCATTTGGACTGGACGTTGTCGTTTTACCATTGTCAACATCGTGTGGACCGAAATGCCCTCCTCTTTACGAGTACGATGACTTTCTCTTTTTATCTTTTTCTAGAATTTTTAATTTTCAGAGAAAATCGGTGACTTCCATTCAACGCATAGAGTCAGAGAACTCAATGGATACTCTCACGTTTTTTTTTCTTCTCTCATTCATTTCCTTTCCGCTCTTGTCACGCTTATTCCGCTGAAAACCCCAAAATACCCTTCTGGTTAGGACCATTTTCGTCATTTCACAAATCCTCGGCCAACCCCAGAAACTGTGCAGCACAACACTCCCCAACTCCCAACTCCTTTGTGTCGGAGTCAACAACCATACCCTCAACTGGCATTTGGCAGCTTAAGTTTTTCGCGAAATGACGTAAACGACCCTGCAAAAGTCAAACCGTACTTAAAGTTCGAGGGCATTTAGGAAGAGAAAAAAACATCGTCACCTCCTTTATCGGTGGCGTGTCTTCGTGGCAAAAAATAGGTCTACGTGTGGTTTGGTGTGGTGCTGGTAGGGTAGTAGTTGTGCAGTGAGGAGGGGGAATGATTGGGTGCGGTCGCCCACAGTTTGGCGTTTCCCGTCCTGCGACGTTGTTTTTACGACAGAGACCATAGGCACAGGCAGGCAGGGAGAGGGTGTATTATTAAAATACAACAAGGAAAAAATATTTGTCTGTTACCGTATTTGCGTGACAGCTTGATCGGCAAGTCACTTCTTTATATGGAAAGACGAGGTCAAAGCTTGGATCCAACGGGAACAGTCAAATGGGTAAAAGGTTATTTCTGATCAGGCTGTTACTCTATCTTATGTGACAGCCTGGCATGTTAACCTTTTCAATGTTTTGGTGGGGTCCAAGAAGGGAAAATAATATATGGGTGGGTTCAAAGTCGAGAGTTGAAAAAAATTTCAATGGGACAAAGTGCTTTCTTTTTGGGTATCAAATTGGGAGATTCACTGTAGAAGAAGTGGCTCTTGGGTGGGGAGGCCACATTGCCCCCCAAATTGTTGTAAGCTGACTTGCTTGCTCTTTGGTGCCTGCCAAACTCATAAACTTTTCAACAAACATAGGGCCCTCAAGACTTGTTTTTTTGTAATTTTATTTTGGGGTAGGTTGCATTATGCATTGTGGTTGAAAACTGAGAGCTCAATTGCTAAAAAAAAAGAAAAGAAAAAAAGAAAAAAGAAAAAAGAAAAGAAGATAATGGAGCTTCACACTATTTGTGGGCTGCCAATTTGAAATGGTCGCAATATGAATGCACAAGTGAAACGCACATTGTCACGAGAAAGTTATGAGAGACCCTTTTGAAGTTTTGAGGCCTTGGAGCGTTGAGAATTTATGGATTTATTGTGACGTGGTCCATGCAGTGATTTTCCATCACCGCCACCTGTAATATGTGTACTTGATTGGATGCAAAGTGTCTTATATTTGTCTCTTCCAAGTTGTTTGGGGGGGGGCCTTTCCTATATCCGTTGAGCCGGCAAGCTCTCATTTGTATTAATTTTTTTTTACTGTATAACTTGCTGAAAAATGATTGGTGATTAATTGGGTTGTGTAGGTTGCTGTTAGAAGTGAAGCAGCCATCTTCAAGAGACCAAGAAAGAAGAAGGTAAATATACCATTATGTATTGCGCCGAAGAAGATATTCATAGAACGTTTATGTCCTATACTGCAATTAATTTTTTTGTGGAGAGTGCATAGAACATAGAGAATATCTTTGCTGAGCAGATCACAAGAAAGTTCGGTAGAAATGTCCTTGATAGGGCTTAAACTTGGGATCTCTTTCATTTACTGCGTAATACCCTTGGAATAAATGGGAGGTCTAGTTAAGTAATGAACGATACAACTAGCCTAATTCTAATGTCTGCCAGTGAAATGTGTTTTCGAAAAATTAAATGGGAGTACTTATCTCGACATTAATTAGCAACATATGAATGAAGCAGAAAAACTAATACTTGATTTCATCTGTAAAACTAACATCGGGGTCGAATATATGAAAAGCAGTAATGCCATCATCTTGCCATTTTCTTGATGAAGAAGTATTTTAAGGCTATGCATCTCCCATGTTCTTTCTTTGTTTTGTTTGTGGTGGCGAGTGGAATACTTGTTAGATTCATATCTCATAGTGTAGTAATAATTTCTCGTGGCTGCGTGCAGACGCTTGCTGAACTAAAAGAGGAGGAGAGTTTTCTGTTGAAGGAAAGACGAAACTTGAAAAATGTATGTCTTTAATTCATTCTCCCTTTTTATTTCATAATATGTCTCAGTGGAGATTTCTGAATATTGATTTCTTTAATACATCCTTTGAGCAGCAACTGGCAACACTACGCCTCACTGTTGAAAAACAGAGGGCCACAAATGAAAGCTTGAGAAAAATGGAGGTGAACATGCTGCTACTACTCTCTAGACTCTTTATGTTATATGTATGCATTTAAATCGAACTTGGATATGTTTGAATTTTCATGAAATTTGCGGTTTGAAACCTGATAACGGATTCAGTTTTGTTTGCAAATAATGGCTTTATTCTAAAACTTAAAGTCTCATGAATTTTCATGTGACCGACCTTTGATTTCTTTATTCTAAAACTAAAAGATACTATTGGATTAGAGAGATTCTAGCTATTATAAAAAAAATGGCTTCCAAGCTATTTTTGTGAAGATTTGATGCTTGCACATCAAAAGCTGTTTATAAGTTCTTTATTGGATTAGAAAATCAACTTCACTTATAGGATAATTTTGTATGCCTCAAATGTGCTGATTTTCTTTCCTCTCGGGGAGATTTCTCTGTTTTACATGATTCTAGAACTTTTAGTCGTCTCGGATGAGTGATTGACGTCTGTATTGGGGCCTTGTTGCATCGTTTAAGGGCGTGTGTTGAAAGTTGTAGACTTGTCCATCTGCTTAGAGTTGTGATCTTGGTACAAATCAAGTATCAGAACATCTCAACATCCGTGCAGAAATTTTCTCATCCCTCATTAGAACTTTCAGAAAATGCGCTTAAGTAGGAAGTCCACCTCAGTCTCCGAATATATACATGTGGACACTATGTATATGTTTTGAACCAGCCTGCTGCATGATGCAGTGCTTCATCTTTTCTTGAGGGTTAAATTTTTTATGCTTGGGAAGGGAGTGTCATATATATGGTCTTCTAATACATAATGGGCACACTATGGTATGCATCAGCAGACGATTACACGTAGTCTCAAGACTTGAAGGTCACTTTCATTTCAACAGTGGCCTACTCTTCTGGTTCTCTAGTTTCCTCCACTAAGGATGCTTCCTGCATTCAACTATGTGTATGGGATTTTACCGTCTATATTTTTGTGATTATCAGCTACTTAAATAAGAATGTATTATAGACAGGTATGACATGGATTTTAATAGTGGTTTTATGTTCAATTACAGCTTGATTTGCAGTTGCCCCTGACAACGATGAAAGCTACAACTTCTGTTGTGCCTGGTGAATCCATTTTGTACAAACTTGAGCAAGTAAATGCAGTTGGTGTCCCTACAAAAATCATGCCAACAATTGTTCATTGCAGTAATCTTGGCGCTTCCCAAAGCTCCTGTCCACCAAATGTTTCTTGCAAGATAGAAGAGGCTGGGAGCCAGGATGCTGCCTTTTCGCTACCTGATTTAAATCTACCATTTGGAGACGACCCTAGCTCCGAGGTTTTATACCGAACGAGCTGAGCAGATTCAAACGTATACAAAAATTCAGTTTCTCTAATTATGCGGCATAAAGATCATCAGCGTTATTTAGCTGAATAAGATTTTAACTCCTTGATCCTAAGTTCCTAACTGTATTTTAGGTTGACAGACTGAAAGTGTAAGTATTAAAGAACGAGTTACCTTGACCGCTTCTGGAAGTGAATGCGGACATTAATTTGTTTTTTCATACACGAAAGAACTGAGGGTAGCGTAGAGATCCTAACCCTTTAGTTAATACATTCTTCCCGTGTTCAGGTTTCTATGTTTGTCTGAAGTTCTTTGGGAAACCCTCATCCTTTTTCATCTTTTAGTTTATTAAAAATATATTGAACTGCTGACTGCATGGTGTAATTACTCCATGATATAGGCTTATTTGTTGAAATGCCTCGTGTGGTTTTTAAATAGTCTCAGTTTGCTCTTGACGTTTCAAATGACTCAATAACCCCCTTAAAACTTTCATCATGTGACCAAAGTTGCCCCATTTCGATAGTTTTCAGATAAAAATTGGGCTTAATTATGTACATGCCCCCTGTGCTTTCCAACTTATCTCAGATTACCACCTGTGGTGGAAAACGTCTCAAAGTACCCCCCAACGTGCAAAAAACTGTCTCACGTTACCCTTTCCGTCAGTTTTTTTGAAGTTCCGTTACGAATGTTACTGTTCATCTCCCCCAAAATTCCAGAACAGTAGCCCTCTCCCCTTTGTTACTGTTCATCGCTTATTTACCCTCCAAAACTCAGAAATTTCTCCTAACCAACACAACTAGCAGCAAGAACAACTCGAGAGGTTGAAAAATCATACCTGGATCGAAGAAAATGGTGCTCGGAATCGCCCGAACGAGCAATGGAGATTTTGGGGTAAAAACCGGCCAATTTCTTGCTTTTTTCGGTGATACAGACGACGGTTGGCAGCGGCTGAGATGTGAGGGTGGTAGAGGACAACGTGCTGGTTCTTTTGATATCCATGTCGTCGCTTGGGGGTGGCCGGAGGAGGCGATGGCAGCCCAAAAACTGGTGCGATGAACAGTAACAAATGGGAGGAGCTGCTGTTCTGGAATTTTGGGGGAGATGAACAGTAACGTTCGTAACGGAACTTCAAAAAAACTGACGGAAAGGGTAACGTGAGACAGTTTTTTGCACGTTGGGGGGTACTTTGAGACGTTTTCCACCACAGGTGGTAATCTGAGATAAGTTGGAAAGCACAGGGGGCATGTACATAATTAAGCCTAAAAATTGTTCAATCAGTTGAAGTGGCCTGGGTATTTTGGTAAATTGAACTATTAAAAGTTAAAAAAAATCTAAATATAATATAACAAATTACTTGAAATGATTTAAAAAATAAAGATAAAAATGTCTCCTTATTTTTTCTCCATAAACGTCAGCCTCATCCTGTCCTACCTTCTCCCTAATCTCACTCCCCACCAAAACCCACCGCGTTCTACCTTCTCTCTCTCTCTCTCTCTCTCTCTCTCTCTCCCCCCCTTCCCTCTGTGCCCTCTGGTTCGTTCGGCTCTCCCCCTCCCCCCCCCCCCCCGCTGGTTGCCCCCGCCGAGGCGCCTTGGGCGGGCTGCGACGGGGGGGTCTGTTGGTTCGGGTTTGTGAGGTGCCGGAGCCGGCGGCGAGGGCGCGACCGCGGCGGCGGTTGCTGGGCTTGGTTGGGCGGTGGGAGCCGTGGTGGGCACTTCTGATTGCGCGAGACCCCTCGCCGCTTCTTGTCATATCTATTTTCCCTCCCTTTCCCGCCCGTTCTCTTCCTTTGCTTTTGCCTTTTTCTCCCCCCCGTCCTCCCTGCTTCTGCTTTTTTCTTTGCCCAACCTCAGGCTGCGTTTCTTTTGGTCCATCCTGGCCTTCGGGGGCCTTCCGTCCTTTGAAAGTAGGTTAGGAGCCCCTACGCACCCTTTGGCCATCACATGAGGGCCTTTCACTAAATCCGCCGTCCTCTGCGCCCCCTACATCTCCCCTCGCTCTTCCTCCTTCTGTATTGGCCCTTCTCCCCCCACCACCCCCCCGCGCGAGCCGCCCTGTTCCCTTTTGACCCCCGCCCCTGCCAACCCACCACCCACGAGCGTTGCCTCCCCGCACTCAGTCAACAACCGCTCTCATCTGCTCCCACATCCCTTTCCCCTCTCCGGCGCCCTCCGCATGGTCCATCTTCCGCCCTCCCCCCGCGTTGGCTCTTATTACACTCCCCTTACATTGGCCCCACCTACCTTACCTTTCCCAACTGCAAAGGCTTCTACCGCGGGTTTGCCAGCAAGTGCTTTTCTTTGGAAAACGGTCCCATACTGTGCGTCATCACATCTGGTCGTCTGTGTAGTTTCGGACTTTCTCGGCTCTTTCCCTCCGCCCGCTCTCCCCGCATCTTCCCCCTGCAACCCTGAGTGTCGTCAACGTCCTCTGGTTCCAACAGGGTATCCATTTGTTTCTTTGCCTCGGTTTTGAATATCGTAGTTTCTTTTTTTTCTTGCCTCTTGACACCCGCCTGCAGCCGCCTCTTATCCCTGTCTGCTTTGCCCTCCGCTTCCCCCCCCCCCCCAACCTTCGGGCGCGGCGCCAAGAGTCGGTCTTCCTACCCCTTCTGGGTGGCTATTAGTATCCGAACCCCCCTCGTAGTCCCTTGATTTTGTAGTAGTGCAATAGGTGTAACTCCTTCTCTCTCTCTTCCTCTCTCTCTCTCTCTCTCTCATGGACATGGGCTTGATTCTAATTAATGATAATTTGGTCAGGTGGGACCTGTATATATTTAGGGGATCACCCCCTATGTTCTCTCTTCCTTTTTTCTTTTCAAAATAAACATTCTCTGGGAATATTTTCAATCATGCCAGATAAATTTGTGTGGAATTTGCTAGAGTGTTTGGTGACGCATGCCTGCTGGGGCAGGGCCTCATCCCGGCCGTTCTTCTGTTGGCCCCACCTGCCGGGCAGGGGCCCTTGCACCTTGGACTTTTCCTCTTTTTGGGTCTGACGCTTTGCTCGTTCCGTCCAACTTTTGTATTATGATTTTATGTTTGCTGCAACGCGATCTCCGGCTTGCCTCATGCCATCGCAGCGCCGGGTTCCTGGTTGGGCCTCTTGTGCTCTCCTCGATGCCTTGTAGCCCTTGTTTTTTTTTTTTTTTTTTTTTTTTTTTTTTTTTTTTTTTTTTTTTTTTTTTTTTTTTTTTTTTTTTTTTTTTTTTTTTTTTTTTTTTTTTTTTTTTTTTTTTTTTTTTTTTTTTTTTTTTTTTTTTTTTTTTTTTTTTTTTTTTTTTTTTTTTTTTTTTTTTTTTTTTTTTTTTTTTTTTTTTTTTTTTTTTTTTTTTTTTTTTTTTTTTTTTTTTTTTTTTTTTTTTTTTTTTTTTTTTTTTTTTTTTTTTTTTTTTTTTTTTTTTTTTTTTTTTTTTTTTTTTTTTTTTTTTTTTTTTTTTTTTTTTTTTTTTTTTTTTTTTTTTTTTTTTTTTTTTTTTTTTTTTTTTTTTTTTTTTTTTTTTTTTTTTTTTTTTTTTTTTTTTTTTTTGTGTTCGACCGGTGATGTCCTGCATAAACATCAAACAGAAGCACATAAGAACTTTACCTATTCAAATTTTAGGTCTTATTATAAATAGTGTTAACATCTTACGGTGTGTTCAAATTTCTTGGGCATTGTCTTCTATCATGACCAATGTGTCCACACTCCCGACAGTGTCTAATCCCTCGCTTCATTGCCTTTTCCTTTGCTCCCGTTACTCGTTTCGACCCTCCATTGCACCTTACTCTCTTAGGGTCTTTCATATATTGTGTTTGAGAGCTGGACCCTCCAACTTCGTTATTACTTGGTCCATCCTTCAACAACTTCAACTTCACCTGCAAACTTTTTAGAGTCTCTGACAGTAGCTCACATCCTTCTTCACACATTAATGCATCCTCAACCACATCTGAAGCAAGTCGGGACATTGTACTCCGCTTTATTAAAAGACCAGGATCTGCAGAGTCTTTAATTTCGTTGCCATTTGCATCTGACACCAATCCAAATTTCGCAGTTTTCTTCCACCTCTTCAAAATGTATTTATCGGGCATATATTCAATCTGGTCCCTTCTGAACAATGCTAGGATGTGCTTGCAAATAATTCCAACAAATTCAAATCTTTTGCAGCTACACGATGCGTGGTCAGAATCTTTGACATATACGACTTCTGCCACTCTTGTTTCCCAATTTTTCCTTTCGCTCACATTAAAGACAACTTTAGAAGCATCCTCTGTTTTCAGCTCTAGGAAACATGCTGTACTTTGTATTAGTTCTTGCTCAAACTTTTGAAACATTGTCCTTGTGTACAAGGTAGCCATTTGTTTGTTCATTGGCATCGGTAGAATACATTGAGCCACTTCAAATGCATCTACGTGATCAGCAACTAACTCTTTTTGACGTTGATGAGAAAGTGCCCTCTCAAATCTTATTATGAAATCCATCAACGAATTTTTCCTTGATATGTATTGCTTGAAGAAACCATGAGAACATTCAGCTCTTTGGCTGCTTGACATTCCAGCGGCAAAAAAGTGTCGTGCGTAGGCTGGAACCCAAGATTCCCTTAAATCAAACATTGAACTTAGCCCATGGATGGTCAGTCAAACCAGCCTTTGTAACCACAATATTCCATTTTGCATCAAACTCATCCTTATTGTCAGTATCCCATATGGCTTTCTGGAATTCACCCCAATACTCCTTATAAGCAGAATGTGGTAACTTAACAGAGAACTTTGATGTGATGTGCCATATGCAAAGTCGATGAAATGTAGTCGGGAAGGCTATTGAAATCGCTCTGCTCATTGCCGCATCTTGATCTGTGATGATCGTTTTAGGTTCGCCACCTGGCATGGCTTTCTTAAACTCCTCAAACATCCAAATAAACGACTCAGTCGTTTCCTTGCTCAAAAATGCGCATGCTAGGACAATTGTTTGACCATGGTTATTAACTCCCAACATTGGTGCAAATGTCAAGTCGTATCTATTCGTGTTGAATGTGGTATCGAATACAACAACATCTCCATAAAACCCGTACGCCCGTCTAGAAGTTGCATCTGCCCAAAAACATCGACTAAACCTGTTATCGCCATCTCCCTCAATCTTGAAATAAAAAGCCTCATTTTTTTTCTGTTCAGCCATAAAATACTCGGTCACTAGTTCAACATCGTGGTTCCTCAGCTTCTCATTCACACTACATTCAAGATTGTACATATCCTTTTTCATAAAACCGATTTTATCCATTCCTCCGGATTGCACCTCGAAAATACTTACCTTCTGATTAATGGGAATATTAACCGAACCCAACTGTTTTGTAAGTACTTTTGTAGAATCTGAAATACGACGGTGTGATCTCAGTAAATGCATTCTTCCTGAGGGTGTCATCTTATGATTGTGTCCCTCTGCAAAAAGAGAGATGGTATACTTCTTGCTCCCATGTGTCTTCACAACCACAATCTTAGCTTTGCAATTGCATCTACTTATTCCCCGCTGTCTTTTTCTCTCCCGAGTTTCATCATTCCGGTATGCACCTTGTTTGCAACATACAAATTCTTTTCTCAGAATCTCTTTCTTATTTTTCCCCCAAAAGCTGGAATGAAGTCGAATACCAAAGCCAGCCAAGAATGCATATCTATTATAGAAATTATAAACGAGGTCAAGCGAGTCGAACTTCATCCCAACTGCTGGTGTTTCCTCATTTCTTACTTCAGGAATGTAAACCCTCCCATTAGCTGTTACAGAGTCATCACTCTCTGAGCCCCCAGACATTTTATCCACGTATATTATTGATCTACTTCTATATTACTGCATAGCAAATGTTAATTCATTAATCAATCATTACTGCATCACAACTTAGCAATGCATTCCACTTACACAAAACATTGCCCAAATTGACACAATACACGCATAGCCTAGCTTGTTGGATTCTGATTACACAAAACACAAGCAAAATTTAATACTAGTTACGTCATCTCTTGTGAAATAATCTGGAAAAAATAACATTAGAACCAACATGTTCAACTAAGAACTCAAATGTAATTCAAACCAGCAATTACAGAACTTCACCCAATATCCTCTCCAAATGCTTACTTCTAATGCCATTAAGCCTAAGTTTAGGATCTTTTACCTACATTTCATAATTTTCCAATCCCCCTCCAAACAAAAATAATCAACTAAGTATATTGAATATTCATAAGGAAATGACGCATTATTGATAGCAGAGCAAATGACGCATTATTGATGCCACAAATGACAAATTTCTCACCCTCACAAAAAACAAATCAAACCCAGCAAAATCAATCCAGCAAGAGTGAACTTACCTCTCAAAGTCAAATGACGCATTATTGATAGCAGAGCAAATGACGCATTATTGATGCCACAAATGACAAATTTCTCACCCTCACAAAAAACAAATCAAACCCAACAAAATCAATCCAGCAAGAGTGAACTTACCTCTCAAAGTCAATCGGGAGCTCCGAACTCAGTCAGCTTCAAAGAATGTGGTGGACATTAGAGAGGATTCTTTCGTAGTGGAGACTCCATCTCTACCAAAATCCAGGAACAACTGCAGCAGCACGAAAAAGAGATATGCTACTTTGCTTTCATCTGGAATCTCTTCTGCTGAACGAAAAAGAGAAGGGGTTTTCACTTCAATCATAGAATCAAAACAGGGCAATAGCTAGGTAAAAGCCATTAATCATCATACCGAGGATACCATAGATCGCAGGCCTCCCAAGGAGCTGATGACAATGGAGCGATTATAGAGTTTGGGAGCTTTGGATCTTTCTAATTGTGGATTTGCATTACATTAAAAAAGAGAGGATTGTGTTCTTGAGTTTTTCACAGAGAGGGAAAAATCTTCAGCTGAAGTTGGGTCTCCAAACGGGTCAGATTTCAACCCGGTTCTACATGCACCCTCTTTTAAAAACTCACCGTTGGATAAAATCCAACGGCTCTTACATACCCCTCAAAAAAACCCCTTATAACTTTCCACTCACTATAGAAGCACTCCTTGTATTGCTAGATTCTGGGTTTCAATTTATCTATCTTGGGTTTGCTCTCTCTCTCTCTCTCTCTCTCTCTCTTCAAACCCTCCAAAACTAAACAAATGCGGATGGTTTGGTTCATTGGTAATTTTCTTATTTGAATAGAAATTAGTAAACACCATTGGGTTAAGAATTATTAGTTTATTGGGTTAAAAACATGACCACTATGTTATTATAATGGCCCAACTTTTGGAGATTTCTGGTGATGAGCCCAAGGAACGGATGCCCTCCTTCCGCCTGTCCTCGCTGAAACCAGTCCGTCTCTCCTCTCCTTCCGTCCCGCCACAGCACCTCCCATCCCTCTTCCTCATCCCCGCCCCACCTCAAGGGATTGATAGTTTCAGTGCATGGGTGAAATGGACATTGAACGTTTTTGGGTATTGTTTTTTTGATGAAGAGGGTGGCCATGGATGCCATTGA